GGACAAATTACTTTAAACAAAAAACTTGTAATCGTAAAAATAAGTCAAAGAAACATTTCGATTTAAAGCTTTCGTGACTGCAAGGATTCATCTTCTTTGGTTCTTTCGGTAAAGTCACGTAGAATGAGAATAAAATAATAAATTAATAATGTCCTACCAGACAGTCTCGTCCCTTCACCTGATGAAGGCCGCTTGTGTTGTAGCCGAAACGTCGTGAGAATTTTATTGTGTTATTTTATTTTATTAATTTATTATTTTATTCTCATTCTACGTGACTTTACCGAAAGAACCAAAAAATATTAAAGAAACATCTTGTATATAAACGCCTAGTCTTATATAAACGCCTAGTCTTCTATATAAACGCCTAGTCTTATATAAACGCCTAGTCTTATATATAAACGCCTAGTCTTATATGTTAACGCCGAGTCTTATATAAACGCCTAGTCTTATATATAAACGCCGAGTCTTATATATTAACGCCGAGCTTTATCTGTGATGAACGCTGCACTTCCCGTCGTTTTCATGCAGGGGGCGTGTAGGTTTGAATGACGGAGGCGCACGGATAGACGTTAGATTACATTGGAATCGATCTGCAGAACGAGGCGATTCTGTGTTGATTCCTAGAATCGACTTGGCCCCCACCGACACGACTTTGCCATTTGTTTGGCGACAATTTCCCATTCTCCCCGCATACGCTATCACAATCAACAAGTCACAGGAACAGACGTTCGATAGCGTTGGTAAGCGCACTACTTTATCTATATTTGTATGATGCATATGATGAACGCTTGCGAGAGAGAGAGAAAAGAGCGAGGAGAGGCCAAAGAGAGGTGACCCACTCTTCTCTCTCTCATTTTTGCCTTCAAAATGTTCCTTAAAGATTTTTTTACTTCCAGTAACAAATTATGGATGAGGACGAAGATCCCCTCGCAAAAAAGCATCGAAAGGCTAACGAACGAAAGCAAAGATGGTTGGTCAAGCAAAGTCAGGAGTCGCTCTAGACAATTCGAGCAGCACATGGTCAATCTCAACAATGTTACATCAATCGACAAACTGCTGAGCAATCCCAGTCGCGGCGTGCAGTGGTCGTTCAGAGTCAGCGCTTAGTTACAGAGCGTCAGAGACAAGCGTTCTGCAATGAAGCCATCAATTTCGACGACACTCGAGTCGAGGCTCAAAATTGCAGGCCAATGAACATCATCTGCCAGTTCTGCGGCTCGAGGAACTTCATCTCAAAGCGCCCTGTTGATCTGAAATTCACTTTGTGCTGCCGTAAGGGCAAATTTAAGTTGCCAAAGCAAAAGGACATCAACGGAGTTGAGCTGGAATATCCTGAGTTTCTCCACGCATTGCTGACTGACCCAACTCATCCGAATCACGCTCACTTCCGCGATCACATACTATCCTACAACAGCGCAGTTTTCTTCGCGTTGATGGGAGCGAAGATCGTCGATTTGCCAGGACGAGGCCCATATGTCTTCAAGGTCCACGGCCAGACATATCACGGCACATCTTACCTGCAGCCGCTTGACAATCAAGCATATACTCGTTTGTGGCCAGGTGTAACCAATCCCACATTCCCACGTGGAACTGTCTGATTGGTTCTTACCAAACTGTGGCTACGATCCACTTCACCTCGTCTGACCCCAATCGTTATGTACACAGAGGTAAAGCTTGCACTGCCCCTTTGATACCTGGTGGCAATGCAGGTTACCGAACAGTGCGTAGTTAACACCTCTACACAAGTAACGGAGATCCGTCAACAGCACACGGCGAATGCTCAGTGTCATCAACCTATCCTGGATGAAATTGATCGCTTTTTCCGCCGGCACAACAGATGCGCCAACAGCTATCAGTTGTGCACGAAGACGAAGCACGAGAAGTTGACCGTGCACTTCAAGCGGGAGAAGAAATTCCGTTGGTCAGCATGGTGCTGAGACGTGATCGTCAGTCGGATCAACGACGATACAACGCACCAACATCAAACGAAGTCGCGATGGTCTTCGTCAATGAGGATGGCGAGCCGCCGTTCGAGTGTGACATTCGCATCTACCCGAGGAATCCACAGAATCCCAATCAGCAGTTCATCAACCTCAATAACTTGAGTCCCCACATGGATCCCATGACGAACGCGATTCTGTATCCGTACGGCGAAATGCTTTTGTGAGGGGGCGCCATAGGTGCCCCCGAACAACTAGTTAAATAGATTTGAGTTATTATTGTACTGTGATGTAAACAGACAAGGATATGTGCCAAATACAATCACAAGTGAAGTGATGCAGAAACAACAGTTTAGCATCAAGTTGTGATTTAGATGGGAGAATAACCAATAATATTTTAGAAGTGATGCCATTCCTGTTGTCCGGGTATTTAGCAGAGCATAAATGAGAACTGTGTGAGGTTTTTTTTGGTCCTTGGTACCAATCAATTTACTTTCATTTTAGGGGTTTGGTCCTGAATATTAGCTTGGTAAAGGACGTTACCAAGCTAATATTCAGGACCAGCGGTGGATTAGATATTTATTTGGCCCAACAAGTCTCCCTGAGAGTAAGGCAGAAAATTAACGATAGGACTTCACCACCATTTATAAAGACTAGAAATCAGGGATCATTGAGGAGTGAAAAACCCAACCAACTTGCCTCATTACTATCTATGCTCACTAACACCTATTCGTCAATGTGTTCTGCCTCGCTTGAAAGAGCATGTGGTGCCACGACCGCGGAGCCACTCCGCAAGCGCCGCGACCCCGAACGCACACACACGCCGGGCACACGAACACACGCAGGGTCCCGGTGGGGGATCGCCTGGCACCATGGGTTTTCATCCGAAGGGCCCCTAACGGGGATGTCCAACGGTTTACCGGTGCCAGGAGATTGGCCGACCCCCCCAGGTCAAATTACATTGCGGCCCCCCTTAAATTGGCTTAACATTGTATGGGCACACAGAAGCTCACTGGGCTAACCGCAGTGAGACGCTCACAGCACGGCGGAGGGGCCAGGGTAAAATATTACGCGGGCAGCACAGACGAGGAGGTGGGAGAGAAATCCCTGTGGACACCGCGGGTGTTTATTGAGCCGGGCGGCCGCTCAGGGTTTACTAGCTGAGTTCAGGGGTGAGGAATGCGGGCACGGAGACAATGGACGGGTGGGGGGGGTAGCGTGACGTAATGCCCTAGGGTAACGGCCGTGAAACGTTTGAAAATTGAAAGGTAGGTGCCGGATTGGCTGCACAGGATGAAGTCACGTAACCCTGAATTTTCGGAATCCCAGGGCATAAAAGGGGGGAGCGAGAAACGGTACAGGGACTTCTTCAGCCGTTCAGCCATCCGGACCGACTCCCAGCCACTCGCGAGCGTCCATGAGACGCTAGCAAGTGCCGCTACGCGTCGACACTAGGCAGAGCCCTCTCTGATCGCCGTCCCTCCGACTCGCACTGCGTCCGTGCGACACCGTGAGTGCGTCTGTGAGGTGAATAATCGAGTGGGGGTACACCTAATGGATTGGATAATAATAGGTTCGGCGCTGCTCGTAGAATATTTGCTGCTAGGCTGCCGAGGATGAACACTTTCAGGGAGTGAAGCGCTGGCCGATCAAGTGCCAACTGTGGCCTTACGCCCGCGTGTGGTGGAAGATGAGGTTGCCCTGCTCCTTCGGGCAGCTTCGTGGTCGTGGAATTACGTTCAGGAGCAAGGCTCCATCCCTGGCAGGCTCTAGCGCCTTCAACTCGAGGTAGTCGCAGAGATGAGCTGCGGTCCAAGGCTGGTAGCCCCGTGCCTCTCGTGGCCCCTGGTCCCCCCCACCTCCTCCACTCCAGGTGCCAACTATCCCTGCCATGGCGCGCCACAAATTCCCTGCACATGAACGAAAGGTGGAGAGGTTTTTGCTTCGCGAGTGCCAGCGGTGTCGAGGCTAAACTCCACACACGCGGGGTTGTAGAGGGGGGAATTGAGTCTTGGCTTCTTCTGGCAGCTTCCTGATTGTGGCATTGCGTGATCAACCGATACTTGGAAAAAGGTCTGCTGCCTCGTAGCAACTGCAGCCACCCAGCTACCATGCAAATAATGCATCACCAATGTTGAGTGAACCGACGTGACAACGGTGGATACAATATTATGTTATATTCACAGGAGCGACCTTATCGGGTTGACCCCAGTGCAGTACAAATATTGTGTTAAATGTGGGTGCAATACAGACTGTTTTTTTTTTCTTTAAACACGCCGTTAATAAACATTAGTGCAGAGTATCGGTGCAGTTTGATTTGTGTGTGTGTGGGTGGAACCTCGGCGTGGTGTTGGTAATTTGAGGGTGTGGGCGAAGGGGGGCGTGTATTAAACCAGCGGTCCCCAACCTTTTTGACACCAGGGACCGGTTTTGTGGATTTTTTTCACGGACCGGAGGGGGGGGGGGTTCATCATTGGGTCTTTCCCCCTTTTCAAAGAAGCTCTCCAGCGACGTTTGTTTTTTACTCATTGTGGCTACTAGGGGTTGGCTTGTGGGCTTACCAAAACTGTGACTGAGACAAGTGTGCAGTGCGGGAAAGAGGCGCGGACGGAAGTGGTAAATTAAATAATGGGTGCGGGCCACGCGCGGACTCACCGCTCACCTCCTGCTGTGTGGCCCGGTTCCTAACAGGCCATGGACAGGTACCGGTCCGCGGCCCGGGGGTTGGGGACCCCTGGATTAAACCATAAACAGCCGCCGACGCTCACGCGTCCGTGCAGTTGTGCCGCGTGAATATTAGGCCGGGGGAGGGGTGAGTCAAACCCGCTCGCTGGCACGCACGTGTTTGTGCCACAACAATAGCGTGTTTGTGCCACAACAATAGCATTAAAGGCGAGGAACGCACGCACATTCGCGCATCCCTTTAGCGCTAGCCATTGTGTGAAACAAGCGCCTGCAGGGGTGCATGCGTGCACGCAGCCACCTTCGTATTCGTGGTGGTGTACGTGGGCGTTTGCGAGATAACCCCGGGCGGTGGTGAGCCAGCCAATTAGCTATGTCGCTCAGAGAGGGCGCTGGCGCGGGGGGGGGGCAATCACCTGATCGGCGGGGGCCCGGTGACAGGCGGCCGACGAGGAGGAGGGGGGAGTAGAGGGGGTGGACGTCGCGCCCCGCCCGCTCATAAGGAGCGGGGAGGCGGGCGTCGGCCCCCACAAGAACGTCATGGGAGACAAGGGGAGGCCCGCGATGTGCTGCGTCATGGGAGACGAGAGGTGGCGCGTGGAGTCTTCCGGGGCAGCATCACCACGAAGCAGTTCGAGTGAGAGCGACTTCGTTACGATGCTCACGGGCATCTCGCGGTCAGCCGTGGATTGTCAAGCCACGGGGCAGGGGGGGGGGCGGTACACGTGATCGGCGAGCTGGAACGTCGGCAAATATGGCGGCAAATGGTAAAATTCGCAATGAGAAAACCCGTGATGGGCAAAGCTTTGGTGTACGCTCAGGAGAAGTGTGGTGTCACAGCAACGGAGCAACTCTGCCAGCGCTGCTATCCCCTCGCACCCCCCCCCACACGAACGCACGCACACCCCCTCTAAACACACACATACACCCACGTAGGGTCTCATGGGAGGGTCACCTGGTACCCTGGGTTTGTACCCGAGGGGCCCCTCGTGGGGACGTTCCACGGTTTCCCAGTGCCAGGAGAGATTGGCCGACCCCCCACCCCCCAGGCCGAATTGCGCTTTGGCCCCGTGAATGAGCTTAAAATTGTATGGGCACGACGAGCTCACCGAGCAAACCGCAGTGAGAACACACCCAGCACAGGGGGACGGGGCCTTGGGGGAACAAGGCTTTCAGCGAGCAAGCCGAGAGGGGTAGACGGGCGCGTAGACAATGGATTAGGGTGCAAGGGAGAGCCACACGCCAGGTAGGGGCGGGGCATCGGTTGACAATTGAAAAGTAGGCGTCCGATTGGCCGCGCAGGGAACACCACGTGACCATGGATTTTTGGATTCGGAGGAGACAAAGGGAGGGAAGGGAAAAAACGTTAGTCAGTTCTCCTTCAGCCGGCCAGCGACCCGGTCGGACTCCCAGCCGCTCGCAGTGTCCGGGGGATCCTGGCGAGTGCAGCTACAACTAGCCCCCAGGCAGGGACCATGAGACACTGTGAGTATATCTGCGAGGTGAGAAGCAGAGTAAGGTTCCACCCAGGGATTGAATAGGAAAGATTGGGCGCTGCTCGCTGAGAATTTTTCTCCGGGCCACTCAAGGTTTTTCTTCAGGCGCGCCATTAATAAACTTTAGCACAGAACACCGACGCCGCGTGTTGGGAGAGCGTAGGTGTGGTGTGAGTACGTGCGTACGTGTGAAGCGCGCGTGTATTCAATCATAAACGTTCGCGTGCGTGTTTACATAGCACGTTTTACGCAGTATGTTTACGTAGCGACGATCGCATTAAGGGTGTCGGCGTGGTGCGTAATTCGAGCGTGTGTGAGGCTGCGTGGGCAGTAATCCATTGACTGCGCCCGCGTGAGCGCAGCAGCCGCGCTGTTTTTAGCGCGAGCCGTGGTGAGCAACCTGCACGGGTACGCGCGAGCACGCAGCCATCTCCGCATTAGCGGTGGTTTACACGAGGAGTGTGTGGGATAACCCGAGGTGGTGGGAAGCCAGCCGCTACCCATGTCCCACAGAGAGGACGCTGGTGCGGGGAGGCCGATCACCTGATCGGCGGCAGCCTGGCGAGAAGGGGCGGAGGAGGAGGGGGGAGAGGAGAAGGGGGGCGACATCCCCCACAGAAGCATGCAGTGGGTTCGTGCCAGGGCAATTACGCAAAGGGAAATCTGACTTCGGGTGAGACATTCTGAGCTTTGTGAAATCAGACGTAGGCAGATTCGCTCGAGTGCGTGCGACTGAAGCGAGGCGTTCGTATTGCATGCTCAAAGTCCTTGTGTCGAATCTCCCAAAACGACGTCTTGCGAGTCCGGACACCCTGCATGGCTCCCTTGATTTTCCGCCAGCCCAGGTGGTTGAGCTCTGCGAGGTTGAGCACCAAGCACAAGCCGCTGACGCCGAACATGAAGAGCAGAAAGACCGTCTTCTCGGTGGGCCGAGACACGTAGCACTCCACCTGCCTGATGCATGGGTGACGCTCGCACGCCACCATGGACGGTACGTAGAGGCCGTACAAGAAGTACTGCCCGATAAGAAATACGATTTCCAACACGTTGCGCAGGACAACCTGCAGGATGTAAAAGCGAGAGATGCTCTCCTGTGTGTGGAATCTGCCGTATCTCTCCCTCGTGGCGACCGACGAAGGTTTCGTTTCCCGCGACAGGCCACCACCACCACCATCGTCGCCTCCTCCGTGTCCACGGCTCTCCGAGTGACAGCCGAAGACGGCCCTCATCCTCGTTCTGAACGTCCTGCTGCAGTCGCGTTTCTTGGGTCGATAGCGCCGCTCGGCCTCGCCGAGGGTGGGAGGGTGAAGCACGGAGAAGGGCTGCCCACCCCGAGGCTCCTGCCTGTCCAGGGTCTGGTGCAGGACCGGGAACCCGCCGCGCTCCCGCGCCTCCGACAGTGGCGGATGCAGCGTGGAGGAGACGCGCCTCTCGTGCGCATCGCCAAGGGGCAGGTTGAGGATCGAGAATCGGTCCCACTGCTTGGTGGACTGGTGCACCGAGTAGGTGATGAAGCAGAGGCTCGGCGTGCAGACCATTATTATTTGAAACACCCAGTAGCGGAGGTGGGAGATGGGGAAGGTTTTGTCGTAGCAGACCTGGTTGCAGCCAGGCTGCAGAGTGTTACACACGAACATGGTCTGCTCGTCACCGTAGACGGTTTCTCCGACAATGGCCACGATCAAGATGCGGAAAATGACCACCACGGTCAGCAGGATCCTGCAATGAAAGACGGCAGAGGCGTCGAGACCGAACGCTCCACCGTGCCCGCTGCTACGCTTACAGATTTGCCAACGCGCTTTGCCAAACGGCCTCGATGCAGTCGCAATAACTTTGCTTATATCACATCGCCCTTCAGTTCAATTAAACCCCATTCATTGGAAGTGACAGTCTCGAATATAATTTGTAATGTTGTACGGTGTTTATTTTATTTGTCTAATGTTGCTGGTGAAAGCACGCCTCCTTGTGTGACTCTCATTATAATTTGAATGTTTTTTTTAATGCAATCTCAAATGTGTATACTCTACATCTGTGTTTTAGTTTGGCCAGTGAGTCAAATTCGTTTGCGTGGTCTACAAAGGCTACGTACAATGGTATCTCTTCTTTGTTTTTTCCAGACAATTGAAATCATACAATTAAGTTGCACAAATATATCAAATGCACATTTGCCGATGACAGAGTACATTTTAATAACCCTCAGAAATGAACAGGAAATATTATAAATACGCTAAATGAATAAAGCTGAAAAGTTAGGCCCCAAGATGAACATCAAAGCAAATGTCACGTACAAAAAGTTGACCGAATTATTTACCTAAATCGGTGTGAAGATTATCCTCAGAGTGCACTGACATGAGGGGAAACGGCGATAAGACAGAGAAGACACTAAAACTGCTAGAGTTGTTAAGAGGAAGGAGCGAGTGCCGGTGGAAACTGAAGGATGACTTTAGAGATGACTATACATGACTATATCATTCTGAACGACGTTCCATCTTGCGGAGGCTGCGCGCAAAGTTTACTTCACGTTTGTGTTCAAATCATGGAACGCCACCGGCGGCTCAAGAGTGCAACCGACTGAGGCAGCCAGCGAACACGACGACCATTTCTTTAGGTGGGCGTCCAGGAACGTATTCATCCGCAACTAACATCATCTGGGTTTCCCACCTTCCAATAATGCGAACAATATGATCACATACATTGCAGAGGTCATATCAGTCACCACCAGCTGAGCCTTACCGCCCTATCATCGTCGCGTGCTGGTGAACGGCTGCAGCGAGCAGTCGCTCCAGAATCGTCCACTCTCCCATGGCCGCCTTTGTCTCTCGTCCAGTGATGAAGCCAGCACGGTGCTGCTGTTGCTACGATCGTAGGAAGGCTGGATACTTCACACGACCCTCATCGTTGCCGTTGTTCAATGTCCATTGTGGTGATGATGATGATGATCTGCTGCTCAGCCTCAGTTTATTACAGTGTGCGCCACTCTCTACTATCCAGATTATCCTAAGCTTGGCTATATATAGCATTGGAATCTGACGAATCGCAGAATGCAATTTAAAAGAGAAATACGTGTGCGTATGAAAGAGAACGTTATATATATATTTCACACTATCAAATCCGCCTATTGCTGTACAAGGAAAAGATGTTTATATTTTACAGGAAATGTTGCATTTAGAATTGGCATATTCAGCAGAACTGTATCCAATGGACACATTCCCAATCAAAGCCGTTTCTGTCCAAAGCAACGGACGACAGCGAACCACTCTCCCCACACAGGATGAGAGACATCCAGAGCGCCACGCTCTCCCAGACTCTACACGGATCTCAAGCTAACGTCCTCTCCAGCTGATGACATTTACAAACGTACACATCAGCTGTTGTACACGTCCACCGCTCTCATTCATGTCCACCGTTCACACGCAAACACTCTTTGTTGGTGGAGGTCGAGGTCACCACGGCCTGTGGTAACAATGCCACCACACACTTGGCTATTAATTCCTTCCTTCTGTTGGATGCTGCAGGTTGTGAGGTTGGATGCCTGCCTTTGTGTTGGGCCAAGTCTTGTGGATCCTCGCACTGAACGTCTGATATTGGGGTCAGCACATCGTACCTGGTGATGGAAATCATCAGCTTGCGAAGCCCCAAGACTTGCACCCACGGGTGACGGTGCGAGGTACAATTGTGGTAAGTCGAGCAATACCGTGATCAAGTAAACCCAAGGCTTTGTTGGTTGGTAATCGTGTACAAACCAGCAGAGGCATGATAATTGGTGTGTTACCCTTTTATCTGGCAACAAAACTGACACCTTTTTTACAAGGAGTCATGTTTGCATTGGCCACAATACCTGCGGTCGGAATGCAAACAAAATACATAACTCTTATAATATATGCACTGCCTTTACTTCAATAGGGATTACCGTTGGTAGGGCTATTTTAATAAACACAATAAACAGGAAGGACAAGTTCAAAGGGTTCGCATAATGCACATGCATAATGTTCGTTGCCTCAGTCACCCCCCCCACCCCACATGGTGCAAGATCACAGAAGCGTCGTCACCACATCTACGCCTCTATATAAGGAACGAAACAGGAAGACTTCTCCACAAATTTGGTTGTCGCCTGATGAAGCTAGTTGTAATTCCTGGCGAAACGTCGTACTCAGATTGTAAATGTTGTGGCTTAGCTCTCCAACACACCGGTGTGCTGTACTAGTGACGAATTGGCCACGTTCTGTTTACGTGACAACCCTTACGAGTTGGCTGTGTCGGGTGGTGGCGGGTTTTGACAACACATTTATATATTTACGCGTTCTAACTCAGAAACCTCTATTACGGATATTGGTCGCGAAAGCCTCCCAAGTGTTAGTTAATTAAAGTGTCGTCCGTACCGCAGATTCGCTCCGCGTTCACATTCAGGTTCAAAAGCGTCCCTTTCTCCGCCTTAGATTACATTTTTATTTTACCGCACTCTCATTTCGCTCTTTAATTGAGCGTATTCGGTTCCTTCGCTCTCCCAAAAAAGAGTCCCCTTTCTCAAAATTCTCTTGATGCGCATGTCCCGAATTCGCACAGCATCTCTACATGCAGCTGCACTAGACATTGACGATAAGCTGCGACAATTATAATAAAGTGCTGTGCTTTCAAAATTGAATAACACAATATCCTTGCAGCAGCGGAAGTGGCGGCACAGTGGATAGTGCGTTGTCCTATTAAAACAGCAGACCCCTGTTTGATTCCCGACGTTGGCTAACATCAGTGGCGAGTGAGATCTAATTCGTGCCCCTGGGTCCCACTACCAGCCCTTCATCGACCCGCATTGACCAGCCGCTGACATAGCCTCGGAGGCCTTCATCCAGCATTGAATTAACACAGGGCTCTTCACGTTATATTATTATGCTAAGATCCTTGCTAAATAGGTTGCAAGATTTTGACAGATGTCCACAATCTTAACAGCAAAGAAATTATCAACAGTCGAACCGAGTTTTACTATTTGCAAGTTTCTAAATGTGGAATGTGAAAATTGCATTTTAGTTCACTATGATGGTTAGCACTGAGAAATTATGATTGGTGTTTGCATTTTGACATTCTTTGCATTTCCAGGCGTCCCTTGTGAAATGTGTGTCCCCCCCCCCCACACAGCGCAAATTTGCAGTTGCGCGGTTCATCTTTCAGGGACGCGCTTCACACTTACACAGTGCATTTCAGTTACACGCTCAAGCAAAAGACAAAAACACTAACATTTAGTTAAAAAAACTAAAACATTTCAATTGTATATCATGGGACCTCCTTTTCCAGTACCAAAATATAATAGGTTTTCCCCATATTCTGGCAACAAAACAGGTGTTAAGATTTTGATTTAAAGCTTTCGTGACTGCAGTAATTCATATTCTTAGTTTTTTCGGTAAAGTAACGTGACTTTACCGAAAAAACTAAGAATATAATAGGTGTTAAGATGTTAAAACGCCAAACTGAAACCTTTACAAGGAATCATGTCTGCATTAACCACAATACTTGTGGTCAGAATGCAAACAAAAAACACTGATAATATATGTGGCACTGTCCTTGAAACTGATTGGTCCACACCAGAGACAGCTTTCCTTTGAGCCTCATCTCAAGCGGTGTTAGACCAGAGGACGCCAAAAGCTCTGGCTTGGAGTAATCAATTTCAAGGACAATGCATATATTTTGATTTGAAGCTTTCGTGACTGCAGGAATCCATACTCTTTGGTTCTTTCGGTAAAGTCACGTAGTTATAAAATGAATAGATCACGACGTTTCGATCGCAACACAACTGACCTTCTTCAGGTGAGAGAGAGAAAGCTACTGAAACAAGGCCTTATATAGGCCTGAGATGGATCTGGATGGCTTCATGAACAAATCTCTGATGATAGCCAGTGGGTTTGCAGAGTACCTTCGTCTTGGAAAAATTAAATTCGTGTTCCCACAGCATCAAAACAATGATCAGAAACGGCAGAGGTATTGGTCCTACCGTGCTTCAGATCTGCCTTGCGTTCGCAAACACGGCCCGAGACATGTCGTTTCATTTCCCCAATGTAACTGCTGCCGCAGCCACAACTTAGTTTGTAGACACCAGGATATTGCATGTCAGGAATCACATCCTTTACAGATGTGATCAAATCACGGATTTTGTGTACTGTGTTGTGTTTGTTTCAGATTTTGGAAATCTTTTTGGTAACCCCTGCTATGTATGGCAAGGTGATGGTTTTGATTGGGTCCTCAGATGGTTGTCTCCCCATGGCTGGGGAGACAGCTTTGCGGATTGTATGGTCATAATATCCATTCATCCTGAGGACTTGGTGTACGTGCTCCAGCTCACTGGCTAGGTGGTGCTGGTTGGAGATGCAATGGGCCCTATGGTGTAGTGTTTTGATGAGGGAATTATTCTGGGCTGGATGGTGGTGGGAGTCAGGCTTTAAATAGGCATCCGTGTGAGTGGCTTTCCTGTAGACAGAATGTTCCAACGAGCCATCAGGTCTCTTCTCGATCAAAACATCCAGGAATGATTTGAATGTTGTTGTTCAGGAACGCAATCATCACGCGTTACTGCAAGGAACGCCCATATTACATCTCATGAATGTGTAAAAAATGTAACACGTTTCTAATTCATATCTGAAGCACTCATTTCTGAATAACACAAAAGAATGCAAATTTAAAATTATTGGCTTTTATTTTGGTGACATACCACACAAATATTTGTTAGTCTATAGTATTTACTTGCATTTTAATCGACAGTTGATATCATGTAAAAAAACATGTTGTGTTGGATCTATTGCTAACTTACAGTGTGTGCTTATAATCATCGGATGTGGGCAGAATTAAAAATTGCCAAAAGAGGTTTTGAGTGTGATGGAAGGAGCTGACGGGGTCATAACTCTCGACTCCCTCACTGACATCTTTGACTTCACACTGGCCTGGTTGGCTTTAATAGCGGCCTCCAACCTTGCCTTTAACTCAGCTGAAGCGCCCATCACAAGCTTGAATGCGCTTGGATACAGTGGACCAATATGCATGAGGTTCTGCAGAGCAAACTCGTGAAGCTGGCAGGAGACCAGTGGAGTCACGGAAAGGGCATTCTCATCCACAAGATAACGGATCAGGATGGGCACCAGTAGAGCCAGGAGCTGAACTCCTGCGGTGATAGGCAGAAAAAAACTGTCAGAAATGCTACACCAGCAACATTATATACGTTAATACAGCGTAAACAAGAAACATGAATAGGAGTTATCAGATGAGGGATGTAGTCGCAGTGTGCATGATTTTTCTGCGAATGCTCAAATGTCACCATCACCTGCTCCCATTAATCCGTAAATAAATAAAAATTAATAATCGGAGCTTGTCCAATATTGTTACATATAAAAGATGAAGTGTCCAAGTGTGAAGCCAGGTTGCCCTTGAAGTATTGCATACGCAGCGTCATTGCGCAAATTGCAATCGTGTATTTTGTCCTACAAGCAGCACACTGCATATTGTGATGAGCTGGCAATCGTAGGTTTTTACATAAGGTCATACAAAGGTCAAGTTGACTCCCAAAGACCTCTGGATTCATACCGTTACAATGAGCCTCTCCTGGACCATGTGTGATGAAATGTACTCACTTGCAGAGACAGACTGGCAACAACAATACCTCCAAGACAATTTTTGTTGAAGGCAAAAAAAGTTGAACGTACGGTTCTGGTCCTCGGCGACCGCCACCAACGTAGCAAGGACACGCACACCTTCCTGAACAGCCTGCAACTCGGGGGCAGCCTCTGGCTTGTTGTGTTCCACCTTTTGGAGTTGTTCAACCAGCAGCGGTGCAATTGCGTGGATGTACGGCACTGCTAGTGCCCGATTCTGGTGCTGAAACACTGACACTAGTATTTGGCAGCACTTAAATTGCACCTGATTAAAAAAAGAAAATTATTAGTAGTAGTAGGACTTCGTTCATAATATTTTCAATTTTAATCAAGGAAAATGTTTTGTTGTTGCACTGTATGAATAGTATTTTCAAGATTAAGAATTATCCAATTATACCAGAAAACAATTCATGTAAAACTAAATATATTAAAACGTTAATATTCATGACAAGTGCTAGTACAGTCCCAATGTAATTGACTTTTATTTAGAAAACATAGCAGGCACGTTTAGGTAATGACTGATTCTGTGTGTGCAAAGAAAACTGTCACTTTTTATTTTGTGACTATGCCTGAAATGTCTCTCTGTGATTTGGTGCAACATGCATTCATTATAATTGGCTTGGTAATAATAATGAGATGCAAGAATATTGTGTGCATGTTCATAAATGCATTCATATTCAAATCTGTTTAAAAATGGGCCACACTTTGGATAGATATGCAAAATAAAAAATGTTTTGCTCTTTTATATTGGTGTGTTATAATTTGTAATGAAATACAATTTGATAGCATGTGTTTGAACGAGTATAATCACTATAATTTTCAATTTGTATAATTGCCATATGTAACGTTTGAATGGAATTTGGATTATCTTTGGATGGTGCATTTTATATAAATGATCTCAACAAAATTTAATGAGACTTTCAATAAAACCTAAAAGTCACAAAAAATGTGACTGGAGAGGCAAGCATCGTCTCCTTTGCAAGAGTGGCCCGGGTAATTTACCTTGGGGTCCTTAGATTTGACAGCTGCTACGAATCGTTCGATGCACGGTAGCTGTAGGCTGCGCACAGCAAGGACGTCGGGGCTTGCCGACAGCAGGAAGACAGCGAGGGCCGCGAGCACGCTCACTTCATCCACATTTGCACCTGCGCAGCGATAAGTTGCGGTCGAATATCAAAACAGAATTGCAGAGCAATAAACAAATTTGGTTACATCGTGAAGCCAAGGCGACAGAGCGTGTCAATGGAGGATAAACACTGCAGCCGGTCCTACGCTTTTATGGTCATTGCAATGCGTTCCTGAAAACCCCGTCATCCTATATCAAACCCCATTTTTCCATAGACGGTAGACACAGTGGAAGCTTTGCTTTTTTTTTCCTTTTATTAGCCATATTTAACCGGCTTTGATAGGTACACATCCACAAAAAAACACCTGAGAATAACAAAAGCTCCACGCCACATAACGGACACCAGACTGATTGTTGAAATGTCGGAAGATGTCGGAAATAAAGTTTCTGCGAGGTAAATCGTTTCCATGGTGGTATTATGTAAATGTCGTAAATGTGGATTCATGTAAATCGAACCGTCGTAAATCGGAGACCGCCTGTACTATTAACAAGAACAGGAAACCAACGGTTTAATTTCTCAGGAAACGCAAATTTAGTATTCAATTGGGATATTTAGTTAATTTCTTAGTGCATTCCACACAAGATTACATGTCTCATCTACCAATCCTGCTGTCAAAGGGCTGGAATACAAACATGTGACTGAGTGAATGACAGCGAGTGATTGACAACAAAAACATGTCTCAATCTATCGCCAAAAAACATTTTTCGGAAGCATTTTTGAGGTGGCCTTATACAAATAATGACTTTAAATGCTTTCTTACCTTTGACATCATATACAGGCTTGTAAAAAAGAAAAACTATTTTCCACATGAGATATTTTTACTTGTTAAGGTCGTGGTCACCTCGTAAAAATAATTACATTTTGAAATTTGACCCCACATTCATGGTCATAATGTTCCAAGTAAAATATAACATTTGTATTATTATCCAAAAAAAAACAATGGTTTTTGTAGGTGACCAAGTAAAAAATATTGCTTTGAATTTTGACCCCAAATTATTTCCTAAAATACTCCAACACCAAATTTCAACCACAATTGTGAACAGTGATATCATGTGCTTTTAGTGCTTGTTGACCCGGCCAAAATAGCAGTGCTGCACGCAAATTCAGTTCGTGCAGTTTTGCTATTCCTCCTCCATTAAATGACCGCAAAGTACAGTGGTTTACTGTGCGGTCCATACATTGGATTGCATGTCCACATTAGCACTGTGGTTTGTGTCTTAAATTTTCCATTCATGAAGGAAATGTGCACATCAGCTAGTTGATGTTCTGACGTAGTCGATGGCTACAGCAGTGTTTTCAAGGTATATCAAAGTGCGTAATTGAATGGGCTTGTTAAAATGAAAGCGTATCACGTAAATTGCCGACAAACCTGGTTTTGAAAAATCGAGGACTGTTGCCAAAGCACTACGCAAAAGTTTGGTCCATTGAAGGTTGGTCTTCTCCATCTGAGAAAGTGGAGACGTGATGAGCGCTCGCAGTGCCTGCAGAGTTGCACCGACTGGAAGGGAAATCTGTCCATCTGCTGTGCTGTACGCGGTCTCCTGGAGAACTCCGGTGATCAGGAACAGCAGCGTGGGCAACACTGACACGCTTCCTGTAACACGAACGAGCCAGTCACCCGTATTATGCAGTTACACTTCGCAACTACTCGGGAGACCGGGTAATTCCGTAAGTGGCAAGCGCCGGGAACACATCACAACCATTAACATTACCAAACAACAGAAATGCACTTGAATCCTAAAATAACTACCCAACTCAAGAATGTGGGGGGGGGGGTGCCACATTTATACATTATGCAAGTCATATATATAACCTGCATGATATCATTTTGTAAAATGTATGATTCACCACACATTACATGCAGCAAACCTTTTCCCATTATGTGTCTGGTTACATTCTTGAAAATAGCCACAATCGGCAAATCCACAATCTCAAAGGCAGATGGGAAAATGAGGGTTTGGTTCACGATTCGTCATACAAGACCCACCCACCACCCTCCTTTTGTTAAAAAATGTTTCCCTACGTCGATCCAAACATTAAACAAAAAGTATTTTGAACATAAAATATTAATATTTTCTAGCATTAAATATAACTTGTACGGCAAATTAATCGAATGAAAGCAATTAACTTAGTGTACAATACTGTACACGTATCCGTGTACAGTAATGTACACTACAGAAAGAAAATCGTGTGGCGGAACATCACTGCCTCCTCACTGGAGGCTGGGAACACCGTGTAATGGCCTGGGACCCGCGATAGGCCGCTTGACAGACAAGATGCAGGATAAGACAGCGCCGCGTATGTTCTTCCGAGGCAGCAGCATCGTCGCGAGCAGTGCAGTTATGATGCGTACAAGAATCTCGTGGTCAATTGCGAATGGTCGAGGCATCTCCTCATGGAGTGGTGGGGAGGGAGGGGCAATTGGCAAACTGGACCTCAATAAATTTCACGCAAAAGTGAAACCCGCGAGTGGGAAGGGTTTGCCGCTTGATTATCAATAACTTTACGGGACATCAATGTCACACTGCATGCATACGATGCATCATACCAATATGGTGATGGATTATGTTAGCATTGTCCAATTGATAATTCTAGCATTCAGTTAAAGCTTTTCAAAGTTATAAAATATGATAAAAACTAACTTTACCTGCTGGGGAACACAATAATGGAAGCTCTGCTAAGATGTGCAATGCTGCAGATACAAGCTTTGCTCCATGTTGAGACAAGAGTTGGGGCTTGACGAGACCCTCGTTAACTGCAAGCAGGAGCTTCGGGTTTAGCCTCGGGAGCTGCCGCACCAGAATGCACAAGCACAACTCGAGTGCGGCAAAAACCAACGACTTCCCGGGGACAAGCTCCCCGGTCTCCTCTCCCTCTCCAAACTCTGGGAGGGTCTCCTTCTCTGCGGCTCCATCATCGACTGTAAAACAACAATACCCCCCGAAAACGTTAAGAACAAATATATACTTTACTGTTGCACCAACCTCAAATCTATTCCTGAACGCCATCGTCCTTCCAAATGTTCTGTCTTAATATCACCTTGCACGACTACTACTGGTTTATGTTTAGTTCCACTCAGACACAGTGGGATTGCTCTTATCCACATTTATATGGGGCATGCTAATCACAGACCCTAATGTCTTTACCAGGAAACAACTCCATTTGCAATGTGACTCATTATTATTGTTATCATCATCATCAAACCATCAACATTAAGTGAAAGGCAACATGACCAACAACATACATTATTGCCAATATAAGAATGCAGTTAATGATGCTATTTAAAACTGTAAAAAAAAATTTCCGCGAGATTATTTCTTTCAAAATACAGGACAATGTAAATGAACATAATCCACATTTACTTTAAAATAAAAAAAACAAACATACACACAGCTCACCTTCTGCACTTCTTCGTTTTTCCTTGATATGCTCAAGGGTGGCGCGGATTGTTTGCGTGACAACGTCAACTACAGCCAGCTGCACCACCGGCACGTCGCGTGTGAGCAGCAGTCTGTGCAGCACATTCAGCAGCTCCACAGCCAGCATCTGAATTTTAAAAAAACCCCAATACGGTGGGCACAACACGAAGGTTGAGGTGGCAGGGGATTAATGGCCTCATCACCACCACCACATATCACACTGGACCCGCGCTGCGTATAAACAGATCAGATGCCTTGTATCTGACAGTTTCAATATAAAGTTATCCAGTTAACTTTATAGATCAGATAAATCTATTACTTAGGCACTGCAATGATGTTTTGCAAAAAAAACGTTTTGTAGGAGACCTACATTAATAAGAGATTGCCAAACTATTATGGAAGTAATGCATTGATTATGTAAGCTTTGACTGGAACATGTAGGGCAAGTTGTGATGATGCAGGTTTCCAGTGTAAGTTAATATCAGCCTCATTCACGTCTAATGATTTTTGAGAGTGCAGGTTGGACTGGGTCAACAATGAGCAGACGGTAACAATTTAATTATGGTGGCTATTGCCAACAGACCTGTTTCACACGTTTGCCTGTATGTATAGGTCTCTCATCATCACCAGTTCTTATCTATCCAATGCCCCAACACTGAAGCCATCCCTTGTCTACGTACAATCATTCCACACATCTTGGTTAAATGAAGAACTCAACACATTCGCCAATAGCACCACGTTGCGTTTGTTGTTGTTGTTGTGCTTGTGCATTATTATCAATGCAGCAGCATCACCAAACCATTTGGTTCAATAAGGGGGGGGGGGGGCTGTCTGGTATTGATTCCAGGATCTCAGCGGTGCCAAACTCATTCCTTGGATACAGTATTATCCCGAACCACTTGGTTACAATGTCAGCCATGTGTAAGAACACGATCCGATGGCATAGTTGTATGAGAAGATATAATGGTGTGCTACAACATTTATAAGTTCTGAACTAAATTATAAGTTCTGAACTAAATTATATAAAACCACCCTCATTGATAAATTACAGTATATTTCAGACCCTTTCACTCGGAGGCCAACTTATCGATGAAGAGGCAGTATTCCCAGTGAAAAAGTTGTATTTGATGTAATGACTGTATTGTGCAGACGCTTTTAACACCACGATTACCTGATCATTGCCAATTTTAGTTCGTGGCCAAGGCGAGTCCAGCAAAGTTTTGAGAGCTTCCAAACATTCTGTGACACATTCAATTGGTTCTTCCACTCTTGGTGAACACAGAAATTCGATGCTTATACCTGAAAAAAGCAGCAATAAAATTAAACTGAAACAATTTTATGATCAGGAATGATTGTAAGAAATGTATTACAATTAATATGGTTGTACAGTCTTTCGTACAATACACACAAACTTTGCACATCGCGGGTCTGGTTACGTTTTTGAAAGTAGCCGCCGCAATCGGCAAATCCACGACTCACAAACTCAAAGGCACATGGGAAAAATGGACGCATTGGCAGTACACCAGTGTTGCATAACACACAGGTCCCTCATAAAACAATCTATAATCTTAAAAAAGTAACTGCCATTCGTCTTCTGACTGCTTCAACATCACGAGACCTTATGTTAGACACACCCACCAACATTTTCTGACCGGGGTTGCAGGTAAAATACATTATTTTGCGAAAATTTTGATCTTTTTTCATACCGTGCACTGCCAATACGTTTATATATGGTTTGGTTCATTAACCCAAAAATTAAACGGGAAGTATTTTATCATTAAATATATTTAATATTTTCTCTAGTGTTAAACATAACTTGTACTGTAAATGTATAGCATGAAAGAAATGTACGTGGTGTACAGTACCGTACACGCAAAAGAAACCATGAAAATAAAGATAAGGTGAATGGCATATGTACAGTAAATATTATGCAGTCAACAACATAAAAAAAAGACTTACTATGGGAGACAAGATGGCGTGTGTGTTCTTCCACAGCGGCATCAATGCGAGCGGTGCGGTTATAGAGTACAGCACTAGGCACCAGTCCCCCCCCCCCCAGGCCCTCCAGCGCAGAAGCTTAATTTTGCTATTTTTAAAGTTTTGTTTGGCAAATAAATTAATGGTGGAGGGGTTTCCAGCCCCTCACACCCGTCCAGAGACCCCCATTGATCAGTGTGGTGGATGTGAGCATGCCATCAGGGTAATGTGCTCCATTAGCCATCAGCGTCTCAATGACACTGCTCACAACACACCCGTGTTTGCCTCCTGACACCAGCAAGGAGGTTGGCGTTTGTTTTTCCAGATTACATGACCATTAGTTAAAAGTTACATCGACTCGCTGAGACGCGCAAAAAAGAGGAATAGAGAGGAGTATGTAAAGGAAGAGAAAGAGGCACAAAAGACGAAAATCGAAATAACATTTTTCCAAGTTGCTGTTCCACATTCCTGGACTCATCCTTGCTACTCGTCAACAGCCTGGTTCCCTTCCTTCACTCCCCCGCTTCATGTTCCTATTAAGCCATAAACAGAGCTTGCTTGCACATGCACCTCACTTTATCTGGTACCTCTTGCTCTCATATTGTTTGCAGTTCTTTTTCAACTCTCGTGTATTATGCTTACGACCGTTAAATACCTTGTTTGTTTGTTGTGCAATATGACCATGTGTGTATGTAGACCTTCTTACGAACCGTACAATATTGATGTCTGTCTTTTGTGTTGCTGCTATGCTCACGCACCACGGATCTCCCTTGTAAAGTAACTCGGAAACTGGCTAAACAGCGGGAACATCCGTGCGACAAATCAAATAAACGCAAATTCACAGTTAACAAACATGAAAATTCCTATCCCCTTTACGGGAAGAGATAACATTACCGATGATGAGGTGAAAGCGATCTGTGTTGAGGTCTTCAGGGGAGCAAATTGGAACCTCAGGGCCTGATGCCAGTTCTGTGCCAGGCAGTGCAACTGGAAAATCTTCCAGCTCGCCGACTGCAAAGCCACTGCTGTGCAACCACAGACACACTGCGCGCAGGATCGTCGCCCATGATGCCCGGTAGTGCATTCGAGCTGCATCTATAGTCTCCGGGGTATAGAATGCGCCACCTGATAAAAAAAAAAACGCATGGCACAACATGTACGCACAAGCTTGCATGCGTTGCGTTTTTACTTTAGCCAGACCGTCTTTCCCAATGTAATTGAGGAAATCTAAACATTAACAGGACATGCCTTTGAATGTCCTTTTTAAGTTAAATTTGAGTGTGTTACAATTTGTATCAACGACTTAAAGCTTTCGTGACTGCAGGAATTCATATTCTTTGGGTTTTTTCGGTAAAGTCAGTAGATAGGTTCAAATGCATAAAAAAATAAACAAAAAAAACTACGACGTTTCGATTGCAACACAAGCGGTCGTCATCAGGCCTGATGACGGTTCAAATTAATAAAAATAAATTATTAAAAAATAAAATAAATTAATATAAAGAAAATTTAAACTACGACGTTTCGATCGCAACACAAGCGGTCGTCATCATTTTTTTTTATTTGCACCTATCTACGTGACTTTACTGAAAGACCCAAAGTATTTGTTTCAACGAATGAATGAATCGAGTAATGTTTTTTACAATTATACTCTTTGGTTATTTAGGTAAAGTCACGTAGGTATAAAATAAAATAAATCACGACGTTTCAATCGCAACACAAGCGACCGTCATCAGGTGGAACAGATACAGCAGGAGAACTGCTGGCATAGGAGAAAGCTGCTGCAACAAGAGTTTATATCGGATTTTGGTGGGCTCAACCCAAGGGTAATTGGGCGGAGCTAGAGAAGGAATTTGTACGTAAATGTAAATGTGAGAGATTAGCATGTCAATGTGACGACGGTCCCAGCCGCCGGAGGTGGCGGGGATGTGTTGGTAAGGCAGTGCCTTACCAAAGTTGGTACATCTGGATCCAGTCCTTGTTGGACCAATTCTTCAATGATTGCAATGGTGTCAGGCACAGGTACCTTGGTGAACAGGGAAACTACATCGAAATTGACAAGCAAATCAACTGGAGGCAGTGAGATGTACAGCTGAGGTGGACACGGTAGGACCAATACCTCGGCCGTTGCTGATCATTGTTTTAACGCTGTGGGCTCACACGAAATAGATTTTTCCAAGACGAAGGTACTCTGCAAACCTACCGGCTACCTTCAGAGATTTGTTCATGAAGCCATCCAGATATATAAACACAGACACAACTTCAACCGAGAGGATGGGTACAAACGGAGCAATCATTGGAAGGACGTTATTAACCAAGTAAAGTCTTAACTGACTGTGATGTTTCCATCCTACCCGCCTATTCATAATAAAGGTTTTTGGGTTAGATCGCGTTATTTATAAATGTGTCGTAACCCTCCACCACCCGACACGGCCAATCAGCAAAAAAAAAGTGTCACGTTGACAAAAGACAAATAATTCACTACTTTAGCCCACCGGTGTGTTGAAGAGTGAATCCACAACATTTACAGTTTGAGTACGACGTTTCGCTGGTAATTACATCCAGCATCATCGGGCAATTCGCAATTCGCCCGATGATGCTGGATGTATTTACCAGCGAAACGTCGTACTCAAACTGTAAATGTTGTGGATTCACTCTTCAACACACCGGTGGGCTAAAGTAGTGAATTATTTGTCTTTTGTCAACGTGACACTTTTTTTGCTGATTGGCCGTGTCGGGTGGTGGAGGGTTACGACACATTTATAAATAACGCGATCTAACCCAAAAACCTTTATTATGAATAATATTGGTCGCAAAAGCCTACGTGTTAAACTGACTACCCGCCTATGTCAGCTGTTATTTCCGACTCTCTGAGTACATCACCAGGTTAAATATCTGTGAGGCGGCCTAGCCACAGGAGGATCCCCGCCACCTCCGGTGGCTGGGACCGTCTCACATTGACATGTCAATCTCTTACATTGACATGTCAATCTCTCACATTAACATGTCAATCTCTCATATTGACATGTCAATCTCTCATACTGACATGTCAATCTCTCACATTAACATGTCAATCTCCCTTAAATTGACATGTCAATCTCTCATATTGACATGCTAATCTCTCACATTGACATGCTAATATCTCACATTGACATATCAATCTCTCTTACATTGACATGTCAATCTCTCTTACATTGCCATGTCAATCTCTCACATTGACATGTCAATCTCTCATATTGACATGTCAATCTCTTACATTGACATGTCAATCTCTCTTACATTGACATGTCAATCTCTTACATTGACATGCCAATCTCTCTTACATTGACATGTCAATCTCTCTTACATTGACATGCCAATCTCTCTTACATTGACATGTTAATCTCTCTTACATTGACATGCCAATCTCTCACATTGACATGCTCATCTCTCACATTGAAATGCTCATCTCTCACATTGACATGCTAATCTCTCACATTTACATTTACGTACAAATTCCTTCTCTAGCTCCGCCCACTTACCCTTGGGTTGAGCCCACCAAAATCCGATATAAACTCTTGTTGCAGCAGCTCTTTCACCTATGCCAGCAGTTCTCCTGCTGTATCTGTTTCACCTGATGACGGTCGCTTGTGTTGCGATCGAAACGTCGTGATTTATTTTATTTTTCTACCTACGTGACTTTACCGAAATAACCAAAGAATATGGATTCCTGCAGTCACGAAAGCTTAAAATCAAGATTTTTTACAATTGTTAATATTCCAATAGCACAACTTAAAGTTAAAAGTTAATGAAAACACTTGATGGGAAATAACATCAATAAATCATATCTATATATGGCCTGCTATTAAAAACAAATTCTGCTCCTATTACCCTCCGCAGGAAGTTGGCTGGAGAACTCCAGCGGTAGAGTGAGCAGTGCATGGTCCTGCAGGGCTGCTTGCCACAGGCGGCTCAGGGTTGGGATCTCTGGTTGCACCAAGTTGAGCAGAGAATCTGCAGAAAGTTGGTCGACCTCTCTGCTCCCTTCCTCCTCCTCCTCCGTGTCTCTTGATACTTTAGCTGTGGCATCTTGCTGAGTTTTCATTGCAACGATATAAACCTGAGATAAAAAAAGCAGCGACACATTGGAAAAAAAAACGTATTCCACATGTAATCATGAGATGTTAACCACCTCGCCTGGTATACAGGAGGTCGTGGGTTTGATCCCAACTCTGATGCCTGTATATTTGGGATTTGCATGTTCTCCCTATGGTAGCGTGGAATTTTCTCCAGGTCCTCAGATTTTTCCCTCCACATTTAGAAACACACGCTTAAGAGTATTTGGCTGCTAGAAATTTCCACGCGATAAGCTACTTTGTTGAGCTATCAATTGTAGTTAGGTCACTTCTGCATAACAGCTCAGTGGGCGTTACCTGGTAACAATATATTTGTTGAAGTTTTTTTTTACATTAACATGCTCACAATATATACTTCCCATATTATTCCTACAATAAAATGCAAATGTGAATGTAGTCTCACAATACTGTCAAAGTAATGCTGCACCAGCGTACAAGACAAATTTGTCATTGAATATTCTGGCAGAGATGAAAGTTACATTCTTGGTAATTGAGAGATGAACTGCTCATTATATTGGCTGAATATTAATATCTCTTTCCACAGAAAAAGCAACATTAATGAAGAAAGTATGTGCAAACCAAAAGGGCTCATCAATATTTTTGCAAAATGCTGCCTGTCACACAACTATGCAGTTTTCCCATATCTCCTATCCAGTTTCCTGCACTTCCAATTAGCACGGTTGGTTATGTACGGTACGAAAGAAGTTCAACATACATATACAAATGTGTGAAGTTTGTTTAAAAGTTGTGTTATCAGGGAGGTGTCTATTTATACATTAAGCAAATATGATGATTATTATTACTGCTACGCGTGCTTACCCAGGAAAGTCTCAAGACACTTTTTCAGGAGCGTTCTGCCATGTTTTTTGCAGCAGGGAGCAAAGTTGCCATGCCTAATCCCAACTGAGTAATTTGCAGGTCATGTTTCAGCATTGGGATGTTTGGCCAAAACCAGTTAACATTGTGTACATTTTAGCTATGGAAGAAAACTGGAGAACCAAGATGAAACCCATGCAAGGACATGGGGAGAATATACAAACTCCACACAAAGGCACGCCCAAGTCGAGAATCGAATGCAGGACCTTCCAACTGCGAGGCATGAGTGTTATGACTGCGCCCACCCAGTTTAAAGCGTTAAGATGAGAGCAGTTCAGAGCATACCTTTGCCCAGGCCTTCAGCACAGCGAGTCTCTCCATGGTTCCAGAGCTCTCGCTGTACAGCTGGCATGCGCCACCCTTGCCTGCCAACACCTTGCTCAGCGAGGACACCAGCAGCGAGTGGACCCTTTGCAGCCCATTCGAGTCATTCACCACTCCACTGCAGATCCAGGAACTACACACCTAGGAAAAAACAAAACAACGGGCATACAGCAAAGTTTCCTCCACGTTTACGCATCACCTACAGCACAACTCCACCAATCCGTGAATCCCCGTAATTTGAGGATCATTGGCGGATCGCGACTCCTCCCGTAATCCGCAGGGCACGGAGGTCGGTTGGAAAACGCAAATCGCGAACCGTGGATGTCGGCGGGTTATCATGGAACTGCAGCAGCGGAGCTGCAGGGAACCACGGAGGGGGAAGTTTTTTTTTTATTGATCAGAGCGTGGGCAATTGTTGTTGCCGATCCTAGCTGCTGCCTTCCCACCGCCGGCCTGCGGTTTCGCATCTCTCCACGTGCAGGCTGTGACAGATTCTACGGCATGTTGAGATTAATTTTGCATGATGCCTTTCCACAGAAATATTAATGGAATATAACCAAAGGAAACAGCAGCTCTATTACATTATTTACACCAATATTACAAACAGCATATAACTAAGATTTCTGAGTAATTTTCTATACACATTTTTTGCAAAAAGGGTTCTCATTTTGTAAAACAAATCCTCTCGTCCTAAAGAATACAACAGCACCTTGGGCATATCATGCACTGGAATTATACGGAGTAACACTTGCACTCATATTGCATCCATAATCTTAACAAAGTATATCAGAGCATAATACAAATTTTAGGCTGAGGGAACCCCATGCCTTCAAAGCCCTAGATGACAATGGTGCATCGCTGTGTCTGGCATGCTGCACCCTTCTTAATTATAATACATACTACATGAAGTTCTCATGACTTACATGTCACTGTGGCCACAATGAATTAACGTGTACGGCTATGCAGGTGTGTACATGCCTGTATATATGTGAATGCATCAATACTTGTGTGTACCGTTGCAAGCTATATATAGCAAAGTGTGTACATTTGCAAACGACACCAAGCTTACCTGACAGGCTTTCGCGGTTATGTCGGAAGGTGTGTCAGCTGAAAATGCTGGTCTTAGGGCTGCACCAACCTACAAAATGCACAGAAATATTTCAGAAACTCATATTACAAGTGCCATTTCTGGGTTAGGCTGTGTTGAGCATTTCTTATCTTATTGTTTCATGGTTACATATTAATTGATATAGTAAACCACACTTTTTTATATGCATAATTTGTATTTCTAATAAGCAACTTAGTTCACAGTGATTAATCAGCAACTTACATTCGCTTGATATTGCTCAAGTATGACATGGCCTGGGAACTCTGGTTCATCTACTGCTGCAAACTTCTTGATGACGTCTTCCAGAGCTTGCAGGCCAACCATGCGTAGCTGGTTGCTGTGGTCAGTAGCAGCCATGAAAGCCATACGTATGAGGTCCGAAAGGTGCAACACCAAATAATCACCTGCAATGAAAAATGCATTCTCTATTTGTCTTTATTGTGATGCAAAACCATGTCCGTATTGAGACAAATCAGGAGGTTTCAGTCATGTAGAGTATATGTTAAACCTGCAGCCTGTCACTTTCACCTGCTCTGACAGCAATACATCGCATAGCCAGCAGTGGCAATGTTACCCAAAACCAAAGCACCCGGACAAGTATGAACAAGCAGGAGAGGACTCAACATCAACACAACGAATGAATAACACCAATAAACGAAACATCTGAAAACTGCATTAGAATCAGCTAAAACAAGGACCTCCTTTAAGTATGCTGAGGAATCCTTACGAGCACACCCATCGACACTCCACAAACTGTACAGACTAGAGCTGACATCAACCAACCCCGGCAGCTCTAGTGATCCCTCTTGACGCCAAATCTCCCGCACTGCTATTACCATCGCTGGGCAGACCTGGAGACAATGGTGTCAAGTTACCTTTGGCATCCTTAAGCTTCTTGTCTCTTGCTTTGCCCAAGTCAAAATGGGCAGGGTCCCCACTCTCACACTGTGCGATGATCCGACAGAGGCAGTCTGCAGCGAAGACCCGTGTGGCCCAACGAGGGGCGATCTGCGGCCGAGATTTTTCCTCTGTGTGCGAGGACTTGAACATGGTATCATCGTCCATACCATCCCCCTTCTCTCCCTCTTCTTGCTGAGTCGAATCAACTTTAGACCCACCGCCTATTTCTGAAACGCAATTAAAAGTCACATTGAGAGAATTTGGTTATTCAAGGCAAGCGAGAGCTTATTAAGATCGTAATCATTTTGCAGGGGCCCTGGAAAAATAAGATTATAAGCTGACAACACGAGATAAATACAATGTGATGTGTTTTATATAGCACTCATAATGCAGAGTATTGCAGGGTGCGTTGTGCAAAAAAACGTAGAAAACCATTAGTCAATAAGCTAACTCAAACACATGTGTTTAAATTTGATACAATTAAAAGATTATGCCAGCAGGAATCTGATATGACTTTGCATGAAGTTCTCATTTTAGACGACCTCTAGAAAATATAAAAAGTTCAGCATTCACGGATGTCAGGTGCAACTAGGAACATAATGTGCCAATAGTTAGGGCCCATGAAGGATTGTACAGGGAGTAAGCGTAATTTTAAAATAAATCCTGATGTTAACAGAAAGCCAATGCAGTGATTTAAGAACCTGAGTAATGTGTTGAGTGATGTGTGTGAGTAAGCACTTTAGCTGCAGCATTTTTAATCAGTGGGAGCAGACGTAATTTAGAACCAAGGAGGCTAGCGGACGACACGTTACAGTGATCTAACAAAAGGATGCACCAACATTTCCACACCTTTAGTAGACAAAACGTATCTTGATTAAGAATATTATTTTTATGAAAAAATAAGACCTTTCTAATGTAGCTAATTTAAGTATCCAAAGCACTGTGGAATCAGTAATAATTCCCTAGTTAAAATATATATCCAGAAAACTAGGAAATTCATAAAACATGCAACAAACATGTCAAATATGTTTCCCCCCCCAAAAAAAGGATTACAGCTGCATCTCAGATTGTGCGGATTTGCCTGTGGATTAATCAATATTATTTATATAACATGCAGATTAAGGGATAATCCACGTATGCTTGCCTACAAATGACAAACACTGCTATTGCATATCGCAAGGACAAAATCATAGCCATATGAAAAAACTGAATGCTGAGCACACCACATTCATAGTATGGGAAAGGACATTACAAACACATTTTTACCAAGTGTATTAATTAGCTCTAGGTATATAAACTTAGATTATCTACTATCATCCATTCAAGTTTTTTTTGGTTAGATCGCGTAATTATGAATGTGTCGTTAAAACTGCGACCACCCGACACAGGCAATTAGTAAGGTTTGTCAAATTGAAAAAATGCCAATTCGTTACTATTTCAGCACACTGGTGTGTTGGAGAGTAAACCTACAACATTTACCTCTTATGGATATTTTTCGTGAAAGCCTACCTACGATCATGTTGAACGAAAAAGTATTTTTTTGTGGTGTTACCATATTGCACAAATCCACTATATAATTGCCAGCTGTAGCTGGACTGACTGTACCTGTAGATGCTGCAAGCACATCCTTGCAGAGTTTTAGCCAGTGGGAGAGATCCTCGACCGCAAGCGATGACAACATGTGTCCCAAAGTATCACGGATGTCACAGCAGAGCTTACGATCAGTTTCACGGTCCAACATTCCAAACAAAACACCTTCCAGACCAGTCTCACTAATGGCAATATCTGGAAAATGGAGAAAATGTATAATATTTTAGAAATATCCGTACCATGAAAACACTGAACAATGCACACGAACATTATCACTGATATCAATTTCAGAAGTTAAGTAGTCGTAATGTAGAAACTAGTGTGCTTGAGATTCAATTATTTGAAATAAGAAAACTCATGGATATGCAAATGTCCTGTAATTCCAACGTGCATTTGTCGTCTAAAGTATTCAATGAGTGATAATGATGGGTTCACGCCAGATAAACAGGAAGCAGTAGACCGCGATGACACAATCGAGTCACGATCAAAAACGATGTTTAAAAATTCCAAACATGCATGACAACATGCACAGTCAATTATAAATTAAAAGAAACACGTGGCGATTATAATATACAAAATCTATTTTCATAAATTCGGTTCGATATTATCAAATGGGATAGAACATGGGAATAATTGTAGACTTACTGTATGCACCAGCTTGGGCTTCCGTGTCCCTGGCCAGGCGGAGGGCGTACTCACAGACTTCCGAAGCCTCCCTCTGAGCCAGTTGGCGTAAGCAAGCGACAGCGGCACGACGCAGCAGCAGGTGTGGACTGCCTAAATTCACCTGCGCAAAGAACATATGTAAAAACATGAATGGCATCCGAACATGAACGGCTTGTTCTAAGTAATACTGCTTTCCTTTATATATATTTTTACAAAATGATATATCTACATCCTTGGTGCTATATATAACTTTTATTTTCCCAGGGTCTTGCTTTGAAGACATTTTTCAAAGGCTCTCCAACTACTAAAGGACAGGGTGCTTAAAAATGTTACCATTTTTGAGATTTTGCAACAATACCATGATAAATGTGCCCCCGGGCTCTGGAGACCACCTGGAGAAGATTCCAGGGATGTGCTGACAATGATGGCGAACAAGTAGAGGAGACTCATTGACTTTTTGAAGCTAGTAACATACATTATCATGTTACAGTGTATTAGCCATTCTTTTTCCATTGTAGTGACATCAGGGATGTCACTGTATGGCGCCGGCCCGGGAGGGTCGTGGCGTGCGATGTTCTAACGTCGCGGACAGCACCGGGTAGGTTTCTGTGTGACGGCTTTACTATAGCACGGCATGCGATGCACCGTCATCGCGTACACCCCGTAGGCGGGTGTAGTACCAGCCCTAGCGGGGCTTGGTGAGCGCTGGAATAGCGCGGGCACAACGCATAGCGTGTTGTACGTGCTCCCACAAGAGGGCGCAGGAGAGTGTCAGCCCAGGGACAGGGTTGTCCCGAGCCATGGCACTCTGGTTGACCCCGTAGACACGTGATCCGGAGTGTCCACAGAGAGGGCCCCAGGTGGGGGGGCTAGGGGGTGATCACGAGTCCCGAGAAGAGCTCTCGAGGGGGATCGAGAGGGAGCTGGAACGCTCGAGAAGGCTGGCGGGACTTGGGCAGAGCCAGCCCTGACCCGTTCTACAAGCTGGAAGCTCCACGCCCTGCAAGCTGGAAGCTCTACGTCCTACAAGGAATCAACACGTGGCGGAGACCCGAGTGAGGGTCCGACCCTTCGTAGCTGTAACTCCTCCGTAGAGTGTAGTTAGCTGGGTGGTCACCACCCTAGGCTGTATCTGGTAAAGGGGCAGTTACCCCTTTGTGTATTACGTGTTGATATAATAAATGTGTTGCCTCTATAGAATAACGTCTGCGACTCAGTTGGACTAACTACACCATTAAAAACGATAGTCCCATATAAGCGTTAACATTTTTTGAAGCACCCTGTATTTTAAATGTATGTGTTTTTTAAAGCTACATTTCAAGTAAGCAGACAATACCCATACTTCCCACATCACTCCCCCTTACATATAAAATTATTTTTACACATCAATCAGCCACACGGCCTTCTGAAAGTGCATAATTAGGCATTAGTACTTAACCTTAAGCATTCCTTTGGGTCGAAACTTACTATATTTAACAATTGTAACGTTTTTAAATCACAGCTGTTGAGCACAGGCCTTAAAGACTTATAGCACAAAGCGGTGAGAAATGAAGAACAATAATAATAGAACTGTATAATATTAGTGAATACACTGGTGAATGAGGGACAATCTACAAAGGAGGTCGTGGGAACTATTATTTTTCTAATAATGGCTTTACTGCGACCAAACACGAGCCCGGTACAATACGCTGATTAACATTGGAGGGGAGGGGGGGGAACAGAAAATCCACGATAATTCTGATTTGGCGCGACGGGACTGTACGTAGGGCTGGGGGGGATGTTGGGCCTGCTTGCCTAGCCAAGAGGGATTTCCCGCGTAGTGCGGGGGGGGGTGAAGATTTATAATGGGGGAGGGGGGTGGGGGGAAGAAGGGGGAGGGAGGGGAAAGACAACTAACATACTGAGGGAGGACCAAGGATAGAGGGAAGGGGGAGGGGAAGAGGGGGCTAAAGGAAAACCCTACAGCTTATGGGCTTACGCACTAACCTCCCACTGCTGGTAGATCCCGCTCTCGCTCGTTCGCAGCCGAGGGGCTGTTGTGGGAACTGTTTGACCATACTTCACCGCGCTAGCCAGTGTGGGTTGGTGAAGTTGAAGATTGATACTGTATTGCCCTCTCCTGCCCAACACAGGGGCCCACAGCCTACAACAACCTATTGCGCATGGCGGTCACCCATCCAAGCACTCTTTATAAACCGTCGTACCTTGTCTTAAGAGAGCTTGAATAAGAAAAGAAAATGAAGGATAGGATGAATGAAAAGGTTACTTACACAGAGATTGGGTACCAGGCTGGAGAGATTGACATGACGTGGGGCAAACATGTGGAGCTGCTGCAGACACGATATGGCCTGGGCCTGCACCAGCGAGTCCGAGTGGTCCTGCATGATCGCGCATCCCACCAAGCAGGAGGACCGCGCCGTGGAGATCAGAAGCCCTGCACCTACAACACACGCAAGTCGCACACAAGTCTTACAAAATGTTCCATTACGCATTGTTATCAAACTGCATCTGGTGCAGCACACTAATTTCCTCTAAATGGCATCCTCTATGCTACAACAATGTGCATCACTGTTAGACTATCTAAGTACGAGCACGAACCCGCGGAACTTCCATGGTAAAATCATGGCGAATGTGTAGAGAGACTGATCATTTCATTAACTGATGATTTCACAAATAGATTTTTTTTTCATAAAAATTTTCCGAAAATAAATTACAATTATTTACCCCCTCTCATCCGAATCTCATGTGACGTGATCAATCCAGTGTCCTCACCACTTTCGCATCTTTTCACGTCATCACTCCCTCTTCTTCACATCACCCGTGTGGCGTGACATCATCAATCCCTCTCCTCAGCAACCCCTGCGTCGCGTGACGTCACCTCCTCTCCTCACCAACTAACCCCAATCTTGCGTGACGTCTTCACCCGTCCGCTCCAACTCACCAGTGCCGCGTGACATCATCACTCCTCCCCTCTCCTCAGCACCTTCTACGTCTTGTGACATCATCAACCCCTATCTTGCATGACATTATCATCCTCTCCTCGACCTCACTAGTGTCATGACCCCTCTCACCTCCCCAGTGTCGCGTGACATCATCATCCCTCTCCCTCACCTCCCCAGTGTCACGTGACGTCATCACCCCTCTCTCCTCTACCTAACCACCACAGGTCTCGTGACGGCATCACCCCCTCTTCTCACAACCTCATGCCAATATCTCTCGTAATGTCGACAGTACTCCTCTACCCAACATCCCAGCGTTTTTACGTCACCAACCCCTACCCTCCACCTCACCCCAATCTCGCATGACCTCATTCCGGTGCGTTACAGACACACGCACACACAAACAAGCGTGTAATGACGGTATATCTGCCACTAGGGGGTTAGAGCGCTGTTGCCACCCACGTGGGTGCGGCACACGAACGGCCCTAGGGGGCGTGATTCGGGCAGTCAAGGGAGCGACCCTTCTGGGAGATGCCAGAAGGAGGGCGTAGCCAAAGGGTGGGGCAAGGCCACACTGAACAGAATAAAAGGGAAGGGCCGAGCTCGTCGAAGATCGATTCAGTGGGTAATGTTCGGTGGGTCCGGTCATGTCGTCGGGTTGTGGATCTTCACTAGCCTCGTGTATAGTGGGTTACCTAGTGATAGATACGTCGACACCAATTATAGAACCAGTTCCGTAAAAGTCTCGATATAAGGAAGTGTTAATAAACGGGTTGCCTCCAACCACTTAGTGTGTCTCCATTTATCAGCACTACAAGCGTTTAATATAATGCAGACCAATACAAAAAATTAGATCAACCCTAACCATTTTGATTGTGAATGTTAGGTAGGCTAATGATTTGTCAATTGCTGCTCACTCTGAGGAGTTGGAGGATTTACTGCCAAACCTAGAGAATTCCACTAATAGATGGGGCCTTACCATCAGCCCCACCAAAACAAAGCACATTCCTGGGCATTTTGTGTCATCAAATACTCCAACCTCTCAACTCCCCATGAGTGACAGGGCAGTGGAAAGAGTGGAGGAGTTTCCATACCTGGGCAGAGTACCAGTGGCATTATTATTTCATAATCTGCATAAGGGTATGTGTGGAAGCTACCTGGCCTATCACTGCATACGAAGCACCGGGTCTTCTTGGCCACAGTTATGCTCTCGCTTCTCTGTGCCCATGAAATATGGAACCATTTAAAATTAAAATCTGCGTCGGTTTGAAAAATTCAGGCTGACGTGCCTATGATCCATCCTGAGTTTAACCAGACTGGATTGTGTGAGGCATCCACAGATCTATGAAAAATCTGGAAAATATCCCATCAATGAGCTCCACTGGCAAGCGAGGCTCTGTTGGCTGAGACATGCAGTCTGCATGCCCAAGCAGCTTCTCTTTGGTTGGATAAAGGGGACTATGTCGGTATGTCACGGGCTGGAGAAGAGATTGTCAGGAGAGGAAATTGGAAATGATTGGACTTTGTGGAAGCTTGTGAAAGATGTTACTGGGCAATTGGAGGCAGTCAAGCTCCAACAATAACGAAGGGCACAGGAGCCACTCTCGCAACATTGAGCGTAGCATCGGGTGGCTATAATGCAAGTTGGCACAATAGGAAGCGCAGGCGATGCATCCGGCAGTGAACTCATTCAGTCAACCTGTAACATCTGGGGTCTATCCCATGACCTGCTGCCAGCAAACCTATGACACTTTACATGGCCTCAAAGTGCAACTGGCCTGGAAAAAGTTGCTGTGGCGACGTCAACGCCACAGTTGCAAATGGCTGTTGTATTTAACTGAAAAATATACCAAATTCCCAAAATATATTAAACAGTTTGCAAGTGGAGTGGTCTGAGTGAAACAGAAGTATGACCTTTAAGTTTATGAGAATGCCTGCTCAAAATTGTGATTGAGAATAAAATATTTGTGGCCAAAAAAGCCCACGAATTAATCACAATCAGCTATACATGTTGATCCCGGTCAGTGCCAAGCTCATACTTCCAATTACGTAGTTTGAAAATAATTTTTCGGATTTGCTAAATTTGTATCGAGCACGCCACCACCCAATGGCCCCAACCTTCAAATTACTTCACGGATCTTTAACGTCCACTGCAAAAGCAGTTTGTGTATATGTTATGCTCAATACACCTGCAGCATCAACAAGGTTGGCCTGTCGGATTCAAACCACAAACCTCTGCAATACGCGGCGAACTTGCTATCATTGGGCCGAGATCAACGCCCTAAATGACAATCATTTATTTTCTACGAGTCTACAATGACTGATATTACCAATATCTTTATGTGGCCAATAAGTCAACTATGTGATAAGTATTTGTCTTATTAGCCATATAAATACATCTGGAGTACTCAAGTTTTGCTACCTTAGGCGGCACCAATTTCTGCTATGAACTATTTTTGCTATTGTTTTACTGCCTTTCCCAAGATTGGAAATTTATGTACTTATGCAACGGGCACCAAGGTGGTCTGATGTAATCTTCCTCGCCCGGTATACAGGTCCGGGGTTCGATCCCGACCCTGGCGCCTGTATATTTGGAGTTTACATGTTCTCCCTGTGGTCGCGTGGATTTTTTCTCTGGGTCCTCCGGTTTCTCCCTCCACATTTAGAAACATGCGTATAGATTAATGAGAATAATTTTCTCGTGTGGATTTCCAAATGATAAGCCACTTCGTTGAGCTATCATTTGTGGTCAAGTCGCTTCTGAAAAAGAAGGCAATGGCTCAGTGGGCCTTACCTAGTAAGGTAAAAAAATATAGCTTAGTTTTATTTGCATATATATCAAATGATTTTTTTACCTTTTGTACACTTTGCACTCCTATCGTGTTTTGTATTGTTTGTTGTCGTAACCTTCTGACATACCTCTACCGGACATCTGTGAAAAAGAGCTTCATAGCTCATCGGATTCCTCCAATATCGACAAAAAAACAATCCGATTATGAAAAGCACAGGCCAAACAAACTGGTTCATTACCTTGCAATTCTGGTCCAAGTGTAGTGATAAGAGCTCCCAGACAACGTCCCAGGCATTGATGAACCTCTACGTGGGAGGGTGGCACTGTGAGCAGCAATGTGAGGGCTAGGGAGAGGGTCGGCTCAACATAGCTCCGGTACATTGGTCCACTCGAGTCCACAATCAGAGCTAGAGAGTGGAGGGCCCAGGTCTGTGGAAAGCAAAAAAAACAATTGCAAATGCAGCCTCCTCAACATTGCTTTGGGTCATATATATCGCCACATTTGTGTTGGTTTTAAATATTAACTGTAACTTCTTACACAATAAAATTGTGCCCATTCCTTACACATTCCACTTACGTAAATATTTAGCTTGGATTTGTATAGGAGCAGTCGCATAGATAATTTGACATAACAAATACTGCAATTATTTATCAGCACAGTGCGCATGGTGGGAAAGAGACATCGTTGATAATTGTTTGTTTTACTTGAAGGAACATAAGATTAGAACATAACAAACACCAAGGTTTATATTGCATGGTGTTGAATACCACCGATGTCTTCTCCTAAATTAACATTAGCTGCCCCGCCCATGCTGCTGACAAAATTGGACTACGCCGCTCAGCTCGAGCTCGTCCATTCATGCTACTCTACGGCTCTTGTGCCCCACTCCTTCTGACACTTGGGCTACGCACATTTTAAACCTTTATAAACAGTTGCTTACTCCTATTTTCTCTCCGCCTGATGACGACTGCTTGTGTTGCGATGGAAACGGCGTGAGTTTTTTTATTATTATATTTTTTTCTACTTGACTTTACCGAAAGAACCAAAGAATACTCTTATTATCTATTATTTCAGTAAAGAGGGGTTACCCAGAAGTGGTGCCACGAGCGTTAAAATAATCCCACCGTCAGTTTCATTTGTCTTTACCCCATGAATAAAACCGAAGAACAATAATCTCACCTGCACTTCTGGAGAAGTGTTGTCTTGTGCTAGAGCAAGCAGGATGCTCACACTCGTCTTGATATGCTGCCCAGATCCAATTCCACCAACGTAACGATGTAAGCAGCCCAGAGCTAAAGAATGGCCAGTACGTGACACAACGTCTCGAGCTGCTTTCAACCTGCGCAGTAGATAAATAAGTTAGAAATATACTGCAAGTTGAAAATATACTGCCTTCTATATTTGCAGTTGAGCTCTACCAGTTGTAACTGACAGTGTACGGTTAAGTGAATCAATATTAGGCACACACGGTGACAATAATTGATTTTGCATAACATTTAATAACCTCGTTACATATTTTCTTACCAATGTAATTTTGTTACTCAGTGATTTATATAATTATCTCTCGAGCAAAGGCTACCTGGGAAGTAATTGTTCAGTTGCAATCCAACTAAACTAGAGGAGATGGCATAATTTGACAATGCTCACTACACATGTCCTTCCTGTCTGCGCCTTCGCTTCCCCCGAAAGATACAAAATACTGGCTCCCTGTCGACTGTCGCCGTCTGTTTACATGTCCCACTCTGGTCTACACATTCTACTTTGGTTTTGCTCCGTATTATCTTGCTCGTGTCATCTCTTACTACTCTGTCCCATCCCATCCTCTATGCTCCCCGTCTCTACTCTCCCTCTGTGCCTCCCTCGCTCTGTGTCGTCTCGCTCTCGTTCCCTTTCACTTCTTGAGCCCCCTTCACTGGAGCAAACTCCCACTGCAGCACATAAAGCAATCATCACTAACCTGCTTCTGTTCTTCCCTTAAAACAACCGCCATCTCTTCTCCCTAGCCCATCCTGCTACTGCTACTCCCTGCTCCCGTCCCCGCTACGACCAGGCCTAGCCCAACCCCTATCACTACCCTAACGCCTAATACTACACCCTACTCCTATCACTATCCTATCACTACCCCAACCCTAATCACTAACAGTAGTGCTACTCCCTACACCTGCCCTCCAGCTATGACCAGGCATACCCTAACCCTATCACTTAACCCAACCCCTCCTTAACCACTCACACCTGTTCTCCTGTCACATAACTGCACCACCACTTTTAATAACCCCACTATTTAATTCAACCACTATTATCATCTTAGGTACAATTTTATAATTGTTGTAAAGCGCCTTGGAATAAGGCGCCATATATGTCTATATAATTCTAGATTTGAAGCTTTCGTGACTGCAATGATCCATACTCTTTGGTTCTATTCGGTAAAGTCACGTAAAAAACAACAAAAAATAAAAAAATCACGACGTTTCGGCCACAACACAAGTGGCCTTCATGAGGTGAAGGGACCAGACTGTCTATAGGACAGCGCTGGAGTGAATACAGCCAAGCTCAGACCGTGACCTTTAAGCTTCCTCTCACACAGCTTAAAGGTCGCGGTCTAAGCTTGGCTGTGTTCACTCCAGCGCTGTCCTCTAGACAGTCTGGTCCCTTCACCTGATGAAGGCCACTTGTGTTGTGGCCGAAACGTCGTTAATTTTTTATTTTTTGTTGTTTTTTACATGACTTTACCAAATAGAACCAAAGAGTATGTCTATATAAGATAACAGACTGGTTAAGCTATCGTACACTGGCTTGTTGACAAGCACACAAGTTGTTAGGTTAGTCATCCCATTGCTGTCCAATGTGGCAATTATCAATGTAAATGGCAAATATAAAAATATGGACATGAAAACGACAACGTTTGTGACATTTGTGCTGCGTACTTGTCAAAGCTGTTCTGAGCCATCTTGGCGATGAAGCTGGCTTCTCCCACAACCTGCGCCATCCTGCCCAGGGCCTCGCCAGCGGCACAGCGCAGAATCAGGTTCGGATTGTCCAGAGCTCCCAGCACGAGTGCAAGGGCAGATCGTTTTACCTCCTCGAGGCCCAGAGAGCTCTTGTTTTCTGCAAGGCCCTGCAAAGTAACACGTCCGTATACCGATAATACGCAAGTTGTATCAACTTTCCGGAAAAAACGTTATCAGAACAATACTCCATCAAAGTTAAATCACTGACTGCTAGCCAAGACTATGATGAGCAATGCATAAATGTTTATCTATCATCTTTATTGCATACTGGTTGCTATGCAGCCTAACATTTGTATGATTTTTAGTTGAAATGAGTCAAACACTTGTGCTGCACAAGATAGTGCTATATTTGCATATTTATGTAATTCGTACTGTTTTTGTCTTGTAGTAATTTGCCCCTGGTTCAACTGTTCCATTGCAATTTCGACAGCTCTCCCTTGCACAAGGTCAGGGAACAATTGACAAAAACATTGGAACTGGAATGTAATGAAAAGGAGGATTACTGAATGTCCCTAAGGCTAATACTTAACTCAGTGTAAACAAAAATAATCATATAAAATAATGTGAATTGCCAAAATAAAACACATTCCTGCGGAGGGGGCTGGTAGGAACGTTGGTTGCTCGGTCAGTGGCCAGGGTCAACGGCGGCTAGTGTATTCCACAAATATGCCCGATTGTGAGGGCGGGCACAAGCCGGCGTGAGTAGGTTAAATGTTCAGCTTTATAAGGGCACCACGGGGTGACCAGCCCCTCCCCACCAGCCCCACCCCACCCTGCCCCACCCCTCCCACCCCCCACCCAGCCCCTCCCCACCCAGCCCCTCCCTCCCTACCCTCCCCTCTCCACCCAGCTCCACCCCTCCCACGTGGACAGACATCCACAGACATACACAATTAATCCCCTGCCTCCTGTGAGAATGAATCCCGGTTGGGCTTCCAGTCCACTACGTTTCCTACCAGTAATCCCCATTAGGAGCGCATTTGTTATATATCCGGGTGTCCGGATACACGTGGACAGACATCACAGACATACACAATTAATCCCCTGCCTCCTGTGAATTAATCCCGGTTGGGCTCCCAGTCCACTACGTTTCCTACCAGTATTAAAACTAAAGCAACGTGAGCTCCAAAGTATATTTGCATGTTCATCGTTTGATATCTGTGGAATCTAGTATTCGTACAATTGCACTGTCATTGCAGATTATAGTTAAAATATATGAAGTTCATTCGCAAAACAACCCAAATTCCCCAACTTGAAGACACGATATTCAAGAATGTAACATTTCAGCGAGAAAACGTTATTCACTTGTGGGAAAAAATGCATGCAGAGCTGCACACCATTTGTGTTTATAACCTTACCCTTTACAAATGATCAAATTCATCCATCATCTATTACCTACACCTACTGCAGGGGTCCGCTATCAGAACTTTGTGTTGCACCAGCAAACCGAAGTACAGGAAAACCTTGCTCAATGCAGCTTTGTTGAACGCGTGTTTTGGCTACACATGGTTTATTACCAAACGACTTCTGTTTTCCAGAAGACGGGGGTGATGTTTCGGCTCTATGCGGTTTGACGTGACTGAGATTGTCTCCTCTCCATGTCGAAATGTAGCGCTACGAGAGTGTTGCATCCATTGGAAAGGTATGAATTAATCGACTGTGAGAATGCTTTATTTTCCCTGTATGTTGTGTGATTGTATTTTTTTTGTGTGTATGATAATGTAGCACTGAACACGCACAACGGTATGTTCGCATATTGCCGCACGCGTCTAGTCGTCCATTCGTTGAGGACTCGAGTCACACAGATGCCTAAATGGCGAATCATTAACGTTCAAGTGACAGTGTCAGGGTCGAGCGTCGGGTGTGAGTGCAGCAGTACGGAAAAGAGTAATGGGGACGGGGGCTTATTGTTGAGGTGAAATTTAAAAATAAAGAGTGTAGACACACACACAAGAAATTGAGAGCAACTCATCATCATTTAGTACAATAATAAGAGTGAAAATCGCGCAGAACACAACCCTGTTTTTCCCCTAAGGCCTACGATTTGTCAAACACGTTTTTTCCCAACATGGCATTTTCCAGGAATGTAACCCCCCACACGTTCGGAGAGATCTGCCTGCACACTTATATTGCACAATGTGCATCTTTATAATTTTGTGTTTAAAATTTGAGATGAAGTAGTTATTAGTCAGTTAAAAGCATAACTCGGTACATCAGAAAATGTCCCGGCTGAACGGTGTTTCTGTGTAGCTGCTCCCCTCATCTGGAACTCTCTCTCCCGGTCCACATCCAAAGCATTAAAACTCCCTCTGCCTTTAGGAGTCGGCTAAAGGCACCGCACTTGTTCAAGCATACAAGGTACCACGAGGCCGTGCCCCACGCATTCAAGTTTGCGGTCACACAATGGCTCGTCTGTTTTGTTAAATATGTACACTTGACAAATTGTCGTAATATCGTAAATGTAGTACCTTAAGGGCGCTGAGCACAGCTGTGAATATATTTAGTTGTACTGCTTGTTGTCTGATGCCCTTGGCTTGTTTGATGCACTCAGCAAAGTGTTCCAACATTTGCAGCCTGAAACGGAACGGCATTAATGCGTTAATGATTCCAACACCACTGCAGTAATATAAACCCCAAAATGTGACGGCAAGGGTACATCCAGATTAACTGAAAACTGTAGCGTCAATGGCACACAACCAAACACCACATGATTGAATCATCTGCTAGTTACAACAAGTTATAAAACTTACATTAATCTTTCATCTAGAGACAGCTGTCTCTGATGTGGACCAATCAGTTTCAAAGACAATGCATAGTTTATCAGAGTATGTTTTTTATTTGCATTCTGACCACAAGTATTGTGGTTAATGCAGACATGATTCCTTGTAAAAGGTTTCAGTTTGGTGTTTAACATCTTAACACCTGTTTTGTTGCCAGAAAAAGGGGAAAACCTATTCTCACAGAGCATCACATTCACAAATTCTACTTTCGCGCAGATTTTCAAGAACCTAACCCACGCGGATGTTGAGGCCTGACCATACATTTTATTTTGAATATAAACAAAACTCTTTAAACCTAATATATTTTTTTTATTTTACCAGGTAAGGCCCACTGAGCTATACACCTCTTTTGTCAGAAGCGATCTGGCCACAAATGATAGCTCAACAAAGTGGCTTATGTGGAAATTTATAACAGCCAGATACTCTTAACGCACGATTCTAAATGGGGTAGGAAAAAGCGGAGGATCCGGAGAAAAATCCACACCACCACAGCGAGAGACACACCACAAACTCCGACTATAGAGCAGGCATCAGGGTTGGGATCGAACCCACGACCTGTACACCAGGCGAGGAAGTTAACATCTCACCACCGCGGCACCCCCTCGTCAGCCCCGGCCAGCAAAAACTTGTATTCAAATAGAGTACGATGCATTGAATGATTCAGAGAGAAGGCAGTATACCGGTGCTTGAAGGAAACGTGTGGAAAGACGACCCCAAAGAGAGCGACCGAGGCATCGATCACCGACACGCCAAGCGGCAGCGGCCCGGGCACGGCCTCCCCCTCCGCCGCCCGCAGGTAAATGGACGAGGGGTCATGCTCCAACGCACCACTGCCAGAGGCACTGTTTGGCTGCAACTTAACAGAATACAATTAACAGTAGAAATTAAAATACACAACAGACGTTACTATAGATAGATAGATAAATGTTTTATATATATTTATACTATTCAAACAATCAGTTGTCAAAGTGATTCCAAATCAAATGAGCAGAGGCAGTTATCGTCTTCTGTTTACAGCCTTGAGCCAGTTGTGGAAACTCCTCATTCCGATGGCAGGTTGAGTCTCTCCATAGGATAACTGCTGTAGAAATACCCACAATCTGATACTTAATTTATTAACCTTGGTAGGATGATGGGCTGAGTCAACCCCAAGTAGAATTGAGCTCGCAACCTTCTGATTGCAATCCACTCACTCAACCACTGAGCCACCTGGCCAGATGAATTGAGCCGAGTTAAAATTGTTAACACTCTGAGCTTGAAACATTCAGTGAAGCAGAAGATGCAAACATGATCAATCAACAAGATTATCCCATGTAAGTACATCATAATAGTTAAACACTAAATATAGTGATTTAAAGCTTTCGTGACTGCAGTGATTCATGTTCTTGTTACAGTCGAAACGTCATGAGAATTTTATTGTTTTATATATATTTGATTATTTTATTGTTTCCCTTCAACGTGAGTTTACCGAAAGAACCAAGAATATTAAATATAGGATTATCCAATGTGCTAATGTGTGCTTGTTGTATCAAGATACAAACATTTGGTATAGTTGTCAAACAACACGGGATAATAAAAACATAATTGCTGATGAGCAAGTGAGTATGGTGAGAGCATTGACGAGCAATAAATGCACAAATAAGTTCAAATGAATTGAGGGAAGTTATTGGGACATGGAAGAAAGCTAAGAGCATGCTCAAAACATGCACGGCTATGACGTGTAGATCAGCATTTGTTGCGCATCGTTGTACATTTATAACGTGGCACATTTTGCAGACAAGTCAACAACTCAACGGCATGGAGCCAAGCTCAGGGCTGCTGGAAAGCCTGACCAAACAGATAGGCCTTTAGATGTTTCTTCAAAGTCAGAGTACGTTTCATGTTGCAGATGTGCAAATGGATAGAGTTCCACACTGAGGCGACGACAGTGGAGAACCGACATGAGGCTGTAACAGTTTAGTGTAGTGTATAGTAGTGTATAGTGTATAGTCGTGTCGTGTATAGTCGTGTAGTGTATAGTGACGTGAGGCTGTAACAGATCGAGACCCCCTTGGTGTCCAAAGCAGATTTTGAGCGACGCTACTGCTGCTGCATAGGGTTCTACCATGAGCCTCAGCGCAAGGGTAGAGTCGTGAGGCTAGGTGTGGTGGTGGGGAACCGGTGAAGGCGCGATGACAAAGGCACCGGTACTGCCTTCTATGTATTCCTTTACCTGATCCTCAATGAGCTTGTGGTCAGTTTCCTGCAGCCAAGATCCCAGCAGCACACTGTCGTCACAGTGGCAGAGGGAGCGTAGGAGTGATGTCGTTGTGTTGGCAGCATTATCTGTTAGAGTAAACTCTGCTACAAGCTCACGCAGCAAGGCGCTGAAGTTTCCTGCAACAAGAAGATATTACGTGTAGATTGCACATTCCAAAACTGTGCGCACCTCACGCTTTTGTTGGCTGTAATTGTGCAATTTTTCGTTTTTATGGTCATATACAGCCAATTCTCTGTTATTCGGCTTCCATAGGGAATGAAGGGTGTCGGTTAATCAAATATGCCGGTTATATAAGTTATACTTATGGTTCACCAAATTTTGCATAAAACTTTTGAAGAAAGAAACTAAGCCTACATTTTAACTACGATATAAGAAATTACGTACTCTTTTACAGAGGTATTCACCAGCCAGTTGTAGAGCATTCTAAGTTGATTGCAGAGAAGCAGTGGGGCTGTTAGAGTACAGGATACAGTAGTACAGTACTGTATGTACAGACTGTCGCTAGCGCCACAACTCGGCAGCATCCTGAAGCTTCCGCAAACAAAAGATCTATAATAAGTGCATGGCAAGATGCCGGATGGCTGTCGGAATTTTTCCGGACATGCGAAGGAAGATTTGCATTGCCGTCTAAGGCAGATGCCGGCAAAGAGAGCATTTCGGATGGTAAAGTGCCATAAGCCAGAGCTTTTGCCGCAAACAAGTCTATTTACCTTCGTATGTTTTTGGTGGGAGGAGAGCCAATATGTCATACAGCCTGAGCCTGACCATGGCTGCACTGGCCTTGAGGTGTGCACCATGTGTCTTGATGACAGATGGGATGCTGCAAAAAAAGCAGGAAGAGAATTTAGCTACACTGCCGGTACATATATGTTCAGGGGCAGCTTTAAATAAAGTTACTGTCAATATCTTTCAACTAAATGCATTGTCATTAAAATTCTACAAACAAAATCATTGTTAAATGTGAGTGGGCACATTCTTCATTATGAAGCTATATATTTAAACACCCCATACAAATGTTGGTCATTGCTATAAAATAACTATTATAATAATACTTGAATTTTAATTTATTTTGCATCTATAACATAAAGATATGTTTCAGAGCGCATAATTTTAGCATAGGGGACACCCTAATGGCAGCTTAACTCTGTGGACCACGAGACTTGGCACCAGCCTGCAAGTGGGCATGAGTCTGCCAAGAGGGTGCAATATTTGCTGTAACCCCAATTGAATGTCAAATATGGAACATGGCGTTAAGAAATACCAATCTGATATAACCACTCATGCAAAAGACATTCTTAGATGTTACAGCAACAGTCCTAAGACACATTTAAACCGAATCAAAATCTATCTGTCACTTACTGCGTCATCATGAGCATGGCACACTCTATCGGGTTGAGTAGTCTCCTGATGACATCTTCAGTTAGCAGCTCCCCACAATGCGCAACGAAGCTACGCATGGCTGACAGAGTAAACATCAACAACTTTTAACAATAAATGGTCGAATGTTAATAATAATGTTTAGTTTTATATAGTGTTGATCATGCAAATTGCAGCTCACAATTGCAACAGACAAGCTGGAAGCCACCGAGCCAGCACCAAGCTCTGTGGTCCTCTTCATATGAAGATGTTTTCAGCTTATTAAGTGTTTAAATGCATGTGCGAGGAAATCGGACCATGGACAAATCTTGAGAATGTGAGGCTATCCCACAGGGAAGGAACAAATTAAATTTGTCCAAACATTTCTGTACTGACTTATCCTGGCAAGCCAACATGGATATGCAAAACTGGTATCATGGTTCAACATGCTGAGAGGTCAAAACAAGTCTAGCATTTGAATAAATACTGACGAAAAACATTCTTTTGGAGGGTGCATAGGACGTATTATTTAATTAAATAAAAATCTAAAGGATACCTGAACTAAGATCCATAACTTAATATACATTTAGGCTTGCATTAATTAATGAAAGCGAATTGATAGATGTTATAAACAAGGATGCTCTCTTTAAGATATGGGTCAGAGTTCAAAACAAAACAATGTACTATTACATAACTCAGAAAATAATTCGTGTCTTTGTGAAGAATATAAATAACATGATAAGCAGAACATGTCTCGCTCATATATTTATAACTCCACATAAAAAATGAAGCATATTTTACACAATTTTCCATGATGCGAATGATTAAATCGAGTCATGCATAACATAATTTTGCATTGCACGAGGATGCATATCTTAAAAGAGGGTCCTTGCTTTTAACATTCAGCAGTTCACCAGCAATGCTGAGAAGCAAGCCAGGCATTGTTGAAACCGGTCTCGACATTGCTTGTAGTGAATCAATACTGCTGATATTAACTCCAGGCCATAGGGCTGTTGGTTTGTGTAAAAAATAATTTTTCGTGAGAGGGACAGATGTATTGAGAAATACTGTCCACTCGTCTAATTTTATACACATTTGTTGGCAAATGTGTCGTGGCTTAATATTTTGATAGTCGGTTAAAAGTAGGTTACATATTATCACAAATACTGCAATGAGTTGTTTTCTAGATATACAGGGTAAATATATATTCACCGAAGGGCATGTGACATTTTTTTATCGGCCTCTAAACACAACATATTTGTGTTTTAACCACCTTTACAGGGAGGATTTCCATTTAACTATAAGATCTTTCATCCTGATGATGATTGCTTGTGTTGTGATCGAAACGTCGTAGTTTACCTATCTACGTGACTTTACCAAAAGACCCAAAGAACATGAATTCCTGCAGTCACGAAAGCTTTAAGTCAAGATATTTGTGTTTGTTCGATGTGAGCAATTAGAAATATTCCCCCTACAGGTTTAAACGAATTTTGAACAGTAAAACGAGACAGAATACAACGCACAATAGCACACGACTGGCCATGTGATTCGTACCACACAGTGCTCCTGCACGGCCTTCTAGGGTGACCTGCCAAGTAAAGGCATCCCCTCTGGTCTTCTCTGCCTCCATCTCTTTTGGAGATCTTGGAAAGACATTGCGCCACAAGAGCAGCATCTTCGGGAGGTGATATCTCACAACTGACGGCCCTGCAAAAGTACATGTATGTTATTTAACAAAATGTAATTGGGACCTCAAAAGTTTTACGACGCAGCACAATATGACAGCGAACAATCTTAGACGGCAAGGAGTGTTAGTTCATCAAAGAAAATGAAGGAACCACAAATGAAATTGGGAGTTTAAATATTGCACTGGTTAAGTGTATACCAGTGGGGAAAACGTATCGCCAAAATTCACACTCAATTTTTATGCCATTCTGCTGAGGAAAACGAACAGCCAGCATTGGCTACAAGAAGGGCTGCCAAATCCCATGTCAGGCGGAGACCAAGGTACAATGGGAGGCTGGTCCTCCTAATGAGAGATGGGTAACTGTTTTGGCCACTCATATGATTTTATATCGATGACAGCTGTTCCATATTTGCAAACAATTTGAATAAAAATTATCAATGCAGAAAGGGCAGTGGTGTGCGTGCAGACCTTGCTTAATTGCAGAAGCCAAGAACAAGACTCGAACACACACTTTACCATCCCTCCTTAATTTGGCCTATCCACCCTCATCCTAACCCCACTCCTACGTTCCATCCAACCTCCACCCACCAAACAATGAACAGAAAATTATGTTTTTAATAATTACCAGGGAACACGTACAATAGTGATGTGCAAATGTGTGCTGCTGATCACTTACCCAATGTCATGAGGGCGCCCAGGAGAAGCCACCCTGCCTGGGTTCTCTGCAGAGACAAGCGGCTGTTCTGCGTGGCTGTGCGAAGCAAATCCTCTGCTATGCTCATTACCATCTGCAAAACACATAGGTAGGACTTAAACGTTGAAAGCTGACGTAAATGTACAAATGTATTCGTGAACAGACAATACATGCTTACATCTCTATGTACAGTAATATGAATGCCCTTTATCCAGGAAAGGCTTGCTTAGTCGCAAGCCTTCTATAAGACTCCTGTACTGGGACTTCATTGTTGAGTGTTTTCGAGACACGTTTAATTTTTATATTTATATTGCTCATAATCTTGAGAAGTGATCACATTCAGAATCTGTAAGACTCTAGTGATGAATGTAAATAATGTTTTCTATATAAAATTTACAAACTTGTCTGATGTGTGATCATTAAATCTATAAATCCTGTTACCGACAAGGACATGGGATCTGTGATATTGATGTCTAGTTACCTAATTAACTCTTCTTGTTCATTGATTTACCTCTCCGTTTAGCATATAACAATGCCCTGTAGAACAAATCGAGTAGTATTTACATAGCACACATGCAAACATGCCAGTAAGAAATTGTCATTTCTTAAACCTGAAAATGTGCAATTTGAAGAGTGGAAAAACTAAGTAAAGCTCACTCACTCTACTAGTCCTAGATATGTTGATTTGACATTCGCCTAGAATGCACCCAATCTCATCAAACCTTGGAAACCTACAAACCAACCATATTAAGACAACTTTTCCACGACCAAAATTTGTTACAGCATTTCCTATCTGCCTTGTTAATTAGAATGATAAAATTTGATAATTATTGAAAATTATCAAATCTTACCAAAAATTTGTATCTGTCTGGCTCAGGCAGACAAGCAGTAAGAGCCAAGTTAGTTGGCCGTATGCTTTGGAAGCAAGGGTTGGCTCACGTAGCTTTGTAGAACTCCCAAGGTATCCAGGAGCTGACGGTACAGCAAGTGGGTTCCTCTGTAATTCGTGCGAACCACTGTCATTCCCCTCATATGCACAAGTTTCCCAACGTACTCTGAACAGTCCTTAATGAAACTGTCCAAAAAAACCCCACAATATTATGGGACTGTTGGAAAAGAACATCTGTATTCACCAATTTTCAGAGAATATGGAGATATTTAAAATCTTTAAACTTTGAAGAATCGATGACATTATTAATATTACAAAAGTGTTACCTTTCCCTTTGTGTGAGGAACTCCCAAAGGACAATGTTGCACACTGCCCAGTAGGGCTGCAATGGAAAAGCTGTATCCTGTAACAGCATCTGGAGAGTTCTTTAAGCTGTTCATAAATTCTGTGCATCGCTCAAGCAGAGGAGTCAGCTGAGATGGTAATGCGATGGACACAGAGCGGAGACACCAGGCTGCTGACAAGCGTGCTGATATACTTGGATGGAGCAGCACAGAAATGACTGTATCCACAACACCTGGAATTGGACAAGGGTTAATTAGATATAGATTTCTTCAAAATATGCCATCAAAGGAACAAGAGAAATTGATTTTAGTTAAAATAATCGCACCTCCGATTAGCACGGTTGGCTGCGTATGTTGCAAAATAAATTAAACATACCTAAATATTTATTTAGCATTTTTATGATAGAGATCAAATGTGGTAATATGCTGAATAATGTTGCCTCATTCACTATTCTACTTTACATAGAGTAATAATAAAAACAGTATAAGTTCACCCTCCTGGAAATCCAGAACCATGATTCAAGTTGAGTGAAACTAATCGAAAAAAATTTGCCTCAAACTTGCAAAGTTATTGCATGCACTGTGAGCTTAAGAATAAATATTCCATGAATCACTGCATTATTTCACCTGTAACTCTGAAATTGCATAAACTTGCCCATAAACATAGCTAAAGCATTGGATTATCTGCTATGTGATTATTATTTTTATATTTGATTTCCGACAATATATTTAATTAACGTATTCAATATATCCTCAATTATCGGCAACATACACACTCTCCAACCAGAATTGAACATGTAAAATAGGTGCGTGTTTTATATACTGTTAATTCAATTGGCACCAGCAGTAGTTCACCGACAACATATTGCAATGCAGCATAATCATTCTTGATAATTGAAGATGTCTAATACCTCTTGATTTGATCATTTAATGCTGTCAATAATGCAGAATATGTTAAATAGGTTACTGAATAATTGTCGATAACTGATACTCAATAATTGTGTAATGATATTACAAGGCGATGCAACAGGGTGCGGAGGAGTGCCCGGAGCAGGCCGGGCCATGGTACTCCGGTTGAACCCAAGGGGGCTCGTGACCGGAGATGCAGACCCAAGGCCCCCTAGAGGGGGGCTGGGGGATGTCGTACGGCCAGCCCAGGACCTTCTCGAAGGATCTAGAAAGTGGGCGTGGCCAGGGATGGGGAAAGCCGGGGCTGGATATAAAAACCGGACCCCTAAACGGGTCCGGAGGCTGTTGAGCATTTGAAGACCCGGAGCTGCCCACTGAAGACCCGAAGACTCGCTCTGAGAAGAGCCTGTGGACCAGACTCGAACCCCTGGCTAGGGTCGGGCTGAAGCTTAACCAGTGTAGTGTTGAAGCTTAACCAGTGTGAGGGCACGATAGTCCGGAGGAGATACCTCCGTAGTGTATCGGGTGGAAGTGTCCGTTTCCCCTTTGTATTAGAGTCTGTTAAGGTTATAAATAAACGTGTTGCCTCCAGTAAGTCTCATTCTCCCTGATTACCCACTACAATTGTATTAAATAGATTTCCGAAAATCAAACATAAATAAAACATAGCAACAGATATCGTACAATATATTTAGCTCCACGTCTCTTCACGAGTTTGCCACATTTAAAAATGCACATTACCTGTGTGTGTCTCCTGCACCAAGGGAGTAGCTGTGGCACTGAGGCCCAGAATGAGGCTGCCCAGCTCTTGCAGTGCACACACGAGCATGTGCTGGGAGGCACACATGTCCACGGAGCCTGCCTTGTTGTCCGTGTTACTGTCACTCGCCGCTGCATCTTAAAAGAAAACAAAAAGGTCAAAGGTCGAATACGGTTAAACCCTTAATAATCGCGGGTTGTACAATCGCGCTTTTGCGTATTCCACGACAAATTTATTGTGCAGTCATTGTGATTAGAAATTCGTGGTTGTATTTTAAATATTCGCGGCCAACAAGTAGTAGTGCTCGCGTGGGACAGGCGTGGGTGGTGAGAGCGCCAACGTTGCCGCCACGACTCTCCATCAGTCGGCCTTTGTCCGCCGCACTGATTAACAATGCGAGTGCTTTCCTTGTTTAAATTTTTGGAATTACGTACTCGAATATAATATTGATTTACTAATGCCTTTGTTGATATTAGCACTTTTAAATATGTTTATGATCATCATATTAAAAGTACGTAAAATCATATGTATTAATTAATATATACGTACAATTTATATATTTAAAAGTAATTGAATACGTTAGTGCCTCCTGACACTATTTTCCTCATAAGCTGTAAGTATTAATTTTCGTGGATTGAAAATTTGTGCCGTTCTCCACAAACGTATCCTCGCGAATACCAAGGGCTTACTGGGAAAAAGTGTACTGCCTGTGTTTTGTTTCACTTGTACGTGAATTACATTTCAGAATCGAGTGGACTTCAAATGGCATCTTGGGAATTAGTGGGAGGTGAGACACGATCAAATGCTTTAGAAATGTCCAGGATTATGGTAATTTACTCTCGAAAAATGTTGAAGGCGTGCACTCCAAACACAAGTCACATGGGCTAGCTTTCGGCGATTCCATCGGACAAAAACGGTTACCACATTGCGCCCTTTCAGATGCGCTTCTGTGGCCGTCTGGAACACTCTCCCTTCCGATATTTGGATGCCACTGAAGCTATGCACTTTTAAATCTAGATTGAAAACTAATTTCTTTAAAACTGTATTTTCTGTTTAGTTTGTTGTCCTTCTCCCACACCTCCAATGAGCACGATTGGTTACGTACAACGTGAAATAAGTTCAACATACATACAGTGAGGGAAAAAAAGAATTTGATCCCCTGCTAATTTTGTACGTTTGCCCACTGACAAAGAAATGATCAGTCTATAATTTTAATGGTAGGTTATTTGAACAGTGAGAGACAGAATAACAACAAAAAAATCCAGAAAAATGCATGTCAAAAATGTTATAAATTAATTTGCATTTTAATGAGGGAAATAAGTATTTGACCCCCTCTCAATCAGAAACATTTCTGGCTCCCAGGTGTCTTTTATACAGGTAACGAGCTGAGATTAGGAGCACACTCTTAAAGGGAGTGCTCCTAATCTCAGCTTGTATAAAAGAAACTTGTCCACAGAAGCAATCAATCAGATTCCAAACTCTCCACCATGGCCAAGACCAAAAAGCTCTCCAAGGATGTCAGGGACAAGATTGTAGACCTACACAAGGCTGGAATGGGCTACAAGACCATTGCCAAGCAGCGTGGTGAGAAGGTGACAACAGTTGGTGTGATTATTCGCAAATGGAATAAACACAAAAGAACTGTCAGTCTCCCTCGGCCTTGGGCTCCATGCAAGATCTCACCTCGTGGAGTTGCAATGATCATGAGAACGGTGAGGAATCAGCCCAGAACTACACGGGAGGATCTTATCAATGATCTCAAGGCAGCTGGGACCATAGTCACCAAGGAAACAATTGGTAATACACTACGCCGTGAAGGACTGAAATCCTGCAGCGCCCGCAAGGTCTCTCTGCTCAAGAAAGGACATATACATGCCCGTCTGAAGTTTGCCAATGAACATCTGAATGATTCAGAGGACAACTGGGTGAAAGTGTTGTGGTCAGTTGAGACGAAAATGGAGCTCTTTGGCATCAACTCAACTCACCGTGTTTGGAGGAGAAGGAATGCTGCCTATGACCCCAAGAACACCATCCCCACCGTCAAACATGGAGGTGGAAACATTATGCTTTGACGGTGTTTTTCTGCTAAGGGAACAGGACAACTTTACCGCATCAAAGGGACGATGGACAGGGCCATGTACCGTCAAATCTTGGGTGAGAACCTCCTTCCCTCAGCCAGGGCATTGAAAATGGGTCGTGGATGGGTATTCCAGCATGACAATGATCCAAAACACACGGCCAAAGCAACAAAGGAGTCGCTCAAGAAGAAGCACATTAAGGTACTGGAGTGGCCTAGCCAGTCTCCAGACCTTAATCCCATAGAAAATCTGTGGAGGGAGCTGAAGGTTCGAGTTGCCAAACGTCAGCCTCGAAACCGTAATGACTTGGAGAAGATCTGCAAAGAGGAGTGGGACAAAATCCCTCCTGAGATGTGTGCAAACCTGGTGGCCAACTACAAGAAACGTCTAACCTCTGTGATTGCCAACAAGGGTTTTGCTACCAAGTACTAAGTCATGTTTTGCAGAGGGGTCTAATACTTATTTCCCTCATTAAAATGCAAATCAATTTGTAACATTTTTGACATGCGTTTTTCTGGATTTTGTTGTTGTTATTCTGTCTCTCACTGTTCAAATAACCTACCATTAAAATTATAGACTGATCATTTCTTTGTCAGTGGGCAAACGTACAAAACCAGCAAGGCATCAAATACTTTTTTTCCCTCACTGTACATACCTGTAGATCGTGCTTGACAGAAGTCATTCTGATGATAACTAAACAATAACTCCAAGTGATTGAGGATCAGATTGTTTAGGATAGATTAAATCACTAAAAATGCTAATGAAGTAGACAATTGGCCTCTTGAATAAGATATCACTTCAACAAGGTTACCCATAATGCAATGTGCAAGCAAAATTTTATGTTACTTTGAATACAAATAATTGTATGCGTGAATACATTTCTTATTTTGTAAGTGTGTTACTCAATATATCAATACAGGCAACTATTCATATGCCAATTAAAACTTTTTAATTGTTATTCTTATCAGAGCCCCATTGTGTAGATTGCAGTGTCAAATATCATCTACTCTATCTCTGGCCTGTGCTATCTGTGTGCTATGAAGAAGGGACAATACCAAAAACGTTACCTATTATATATTTCCTTTTTATGTAGTTCTATGCACAAATGTGTTAAGTATGAATGAAGTCAAGGCAAATGACAAAAAGTGCAGTCAGATCATAACATAGCAGAATTTAAACAAACACAATAAAAAGTACAAATGAATGCTACAATAATAAAAAAAAAATTGTACAGGATTTTAAGAAGCGTATCAGAATGCTCCACAACTACTTACCCAGTGCTTTCATTTGCTTTGTAATGGCCTGGCAGATATCCTTGGCTGCCGCCACCTGAGCCTTTTCTCCAAGGAGACTCCCCACAGTGGAGCGCAGAATGAAGGACACACAGCGACGGGAGTAGACGGCCTCCACGTGGTTCTGAGTTGCCCTCGGATTGGCCACGAGCCCCAGGATGTGCATCAGGAATGTGGGGAAGCTTCTTTCCAGCCACGGTCCTCCCATCGTCGAGACAAACACAACGTATGCCTGTGAAAACAAAATTAACGTTTTTGAAAGTTTTACTCAATTACATAAAATCAGCCACGTTATTGTAAAGTCTACATCACAAGCATTGCACAAACACTATAGTGTACATTTATCATGCAAAACATTGAATGATTATTGAACCAATACTACCAAGGATAATGTGCAAAAAAGTAATTTAGTTTAGTTTAAAATGGGAAATAAGTTAAATAAAACCGTTGAAAAATTAGTTTATGTCCAATATCACATGTATGATTTTGATTTGAAGCTTTCGTGACTGAAGGAATCCATACTCTTTGGTTCTTTTGGTAAAATCACGTAGGTATAAAATAAAATAATTCATGACGTTTCGGGCACAACACAATCAGAAAGGGTTTTATTCGCCATGAAAGTTCACACAGACAAGGAATTTACTTTGGCAGGAAGGTGCGTGCATACATTCAACATATAGGAATCTAAAATCTTAAATAAGTGGTATACAAGTCTAACTATACAATCTTCCCCGCTCGCCTCATGGTCCTCGAGGTGTGCAGGTCCTCGAGGGTTGGTAGATTGCAGGCAATCACCTTCTCAGCAGTGTGGTGATACGCTGCAGTCTGCTCTTGTCCTTGGCAGTGGCAGCAGCGTACCAGACGGTTATGGTGGAGGTTAGGATGGATTCAATGATTGCTGTATAGAAGTGCACCATCATTGTCTTTGGCAGGTTTAATTTCTTCAGCTGCCGTAGGAAGTACATCCTCTGTTGAGCTCTCTTGGTGAGGGAGCTGATGTTCAATTCCCACTTGAGGTCCCGGGAGAGAATAGTGCCCAGGAAGCGGAAGGACTCCACAGTTTTGACTGGGGAGTCGCACAGGGTGATGGGGGTGAGTGGGGCTGTATTCTTCCTGAAGTCCACAACCATCTCAACTGTCTTTAGAGCATTTAGCTCTAAATTGTTCTGGCTACACCAGGTCACCAGGTTGTCAGCTTCCCACCTATAGTCAGACTCATCCCCACCAGAGATCAGCCCAATGAGGGTGGTGTCGTCCGCAAACTTCAAGAGTTTGACGGACAGATGATTGGAGGTGCAGCTGTTGGTGTACAGGGAGAAGAGCAGTGGGGAAAGGACACAGCCCTGAGGAGTTCCGGTGCTGATGGACCTGGAGTCAGAGACTTGTGTTCTCAGCTTAACGCACTTCTTCCTGTCAGCCAGGAAGTCTGTGATCCACCTGCAGGTGGAGTCGGGCACGTTCAGCTGGAAGAGCTTGTCCTGAAGCAGGGCAGGGATGATGGTGTTGAAGGCAGAGCTGAAGTCCACAAACAGGATCCTGGCGTAGGATGCTGGGGAGTCCAGATGCTGTAGGGTGAAGTGGAGGGCCATGTTAACTGCGTCGTCCACAGACCTGTTGGCTCTGTAGGCAAACTGAAGGGGGTCCAGGAGAGTGTCTGTGATGGCTTTGAGGTGTGCCAGAACCAGGCGGTCAAACGACTTCATTACCACAGAGGTAAGGGCGACCGGTCTATAATCATTTAGTCCTGTTGGCCTTAGCTTTTTGGGCACAGGGATGATGGTGGAGGACTTGAGACAGGCTGGTACATGTCATGTCTCCAGGGAGGTGTTAAAGATGCTGGTGAACACCGGAGACAGCTGGTCAGCGCAGTGCCTGAGGGTGGCTGGAGAGACAGAGTCCGGCCCAGCTGCTTTGCGTGGGTTCTGCCTCTTGAAAAGTCTATTAACTTCTCTCTCCTGAAGGAGAGAGTCGACTCTGTAGTAGGGGTGGTGGATGGGGCCTCTTGGGTGGGAAGGGGTAGTTCAGGACAGTCCAATTGTCTTTCAAATCTGCAGTAGAACTCGTTAAGATCGTTGGCCAGGAGGGAGTCGTTAGTGGTGTTGGGTAGCTCTGGGCTTGCAGTTGGTGATCTGCCTGAGCCCTCTCCAGACAGAAGCAGTCGTTAGCAGAGAACTGGTGTTTTAGTCTGAGTACAGTCGTTTAGCCTCTCTCACCGCCTTTCTAAAACTGTTCTTCGACTCCTTGAATCTGTCTCTATCCCCACTCCTAAACGCTTCCTCCTTCTCCAACCTCAACCTTCTGCGCTTTGCTGAGAACAAGGGCTTGTTGTTGTTGAAGTTCACCCTGGTACGTGTTGGAATACAGCAGTCCTCACAGAAGCTGATGTATGACATCAAGCCTCTGTGAGTTCATCCAGACTATTGGTAGCAGTTGTGAACACATCCCAGTCAGTACAGTCCAAGCACGCCCGCAAATCCTCCACAGCCTCACTGGTCCACTGTTTAGATGTCCTCACAGCAGGTTTACAGAGCTTTAGTTTCTGCCTGTATGCAGGAATCAGGTGGACCATGGCATGGTCAGAGTGTCCCAGTGCTGCTCGGGGGAAGGCGTGGTAGGCTCTACTGACTGTAGTTTAGCAGTGATCCAGAGTGTTCCCTTCTCTGGTAGGGCATTTAATGAATGGTATGTATTTGGGGAGTTCGTGGCTGAGATTACCTTTGTTAAAGTCGCCAAGTACGATAACCAGCTAATCTGGATTTGCTCGCTCTACACTCAGAATCTGGTCGGCGAGCATGCGTTGGGCTTCTGTAACCTGAGGACCCGGCGGCAAGTAAACTCCGACCAAAATAAGCGACGCGAACTCGCGAGGCGAGTAGAAAGGTTTACAGTTGATAAAAAATGATTCAAGGAGCGGAGAACAATGTTGCAGAATCACTGTGACATCTACACACCAGCCACTGTTAATGTAAAAACAAATACCACCGCCTTTCGTCTTGCCGGAGAGTGCTATGTCACGATCCGATCTTATAAGATGGAATCCTGCTAGTTGTAGCGAAGTCTCCGGAATCAAATCACACAGCCATGTTTCCGTGAAGCACAAAACAGAAGCTGAAAGAAAGTCTCTGTTTTTCACCATCAGTAGCTGAAGTTCGTCCATTTTTTTGCACAGTGAACGTACGTTGGAGAGGAAAAAGCTCAGAAGCACTGTTCGGATCCCGTGTCTGCGTAGCCGTATTAGAGCCCCCGACCGTTTACCCCTTGGGCGGCGTTTCGCTGCTTGAGCAAAGCCTAGCGCGGCTTTGACTAGAATGCCCACTAATTCTGTCGCTGGAAGCAGAAAAGTGGGAAATAAATCCACAGGAGTTGTTTCCCATGATGTTTAAAAGTTCGTCTCTTGTTAGGGAACTCCGAAAATTTGGCACAGCACTGAATTAACAGATAAAACAAGACAAAACAGGGCGCACCGACCGGCTGAGGCTACCATCATCGTCGCCATCTTCTCACCAGCACGGGTGTGCTGAACAGCAGGCCTCTCTCACCAGCATGGGTGTGCTGAACAGCAGGCCCCTCTCACCAGCACAGGTGTGCTGAACAGCAGGCCTCTCTCACCAGCACTGGTGTGATGAACAGTAGGCCCCTCTCACCAGCACAGGTGTGTTGAACAGCAGGCCCCTCTCACCAACACGTTTGTGCTGAACAGCAGGCCCCTCTCACCAGCACGGGTGTGCTGAACAGCAGGCACCTCTCACCAGCACAGGTGTGCTGAATAGCAGGCCTTTCTCACTATCACCGGTGTGCGGAACAGCACACTCGTGCATCATTAGGTGGGAAAGCATGGTCTGCTGCTGAGGCAGACTGTTTTAAAAGGTTTGAAATGGGTGAAGCCCAAGGGCTCACGTGACGTGAAGGTTCTGCCTTTGTAGTGAGGGTTGTAAGTTGACGCTGAGGAGGGGGGAGGAGGCGCCCCCCGCCCCCCCATGTGGAGTGATGTCACCTGCTAATTATTATTATTATTGGCGCGGGGGGGGGGGGGGGGTGTCCATTTGAAAGACGTCATCTCATCATGATTATTAATGAAGGGGGCTGTTCATTGTGGAGTGACGTAACCTGCTCATGAGTATTAATGAGGGGGGGGGGTGCTACATGTGGAGTGACGTTCACCCACTCATGATTATTAATGAGGGGGGGTCCATGTGGAGGACGTCACCTGTTCATGATTATTAATGAGGGGGGCTGGCCGACATGGAGTGACGTCACGCGCGGGACACACAGACATTCTTGGCTCATTATAAATGCCACCATCCTGCCCATATTTGATTACTGTAACACCATCTACTGCCTGGCTTACCACATCTACCCTGAAACATCCTGTTCCGCTACACCACTTGGCTCTCCGTTTTGCCCTCGATGCACCCCATTAACCTCATTATTCCAACCTGTACATCAACTGAAATCTGTCTTACCTGGATATCCAGAGACGGCATCACCGACTGGGCTGTCTTCATCCAAAAGGTCCCATTAAACAAATCCATCAAATACCTAAAAGAACCACCAAGCTCCTCCAACTCCCTCCAATAGCCTCAGAAGTTTTAGCACTTTTAAATGTTTATGATCATAATTATTGAAGGTAAGTAAAATCATATGCATTAATTAATATATACATACAGTTTATATGTTTAAAAACATAATTATATACGTTTATGCCCCCTAACACTATTTTCCTCGGAAGCTTTAAGTATTAATATTTGCGGATTAACTATCTGCGCCGATCTCGAGGGACGTATCCCCACGAACACCAAGGGTTTACTTGTACGTTAATTACATTTCAGATTCGAGTGGACTTCAAATGGCAGCCTGGAAATTAGTGGCAGATGAGACACGATAAAATACTTGAGAAATGTCCAGGGCTTTGGTCATTCACTCTCGAAAAATGTTGAAGGCTCGCTGAAGTGCGCCCCCCATCCCCCCCGCCCCCGCTTTAAGAGTTACATCATTCATCAATTGTCCAAGTTCTAGTCCCAGCACCAGAACAGTGTTCGTTTGTGTATCGTCAGAGCGCGTTGGTGGACAACTATGAAAACCGGATTTACTAAAACCGCTTGTTGTTGTTGCTGTGCTCACGCACCATCCATCTCCCCTTGTAAAATATCCGGACAAAGTGCCTCAACGGATTCATCTGTGTAACAAATCAAATGAGCTCGAAACTCAAACAATGTGTTTTATTTAACCACGGTAATCCAGTAGCACACCTGTGTGACACCAACTCGGACTTCTCGAGGGATGGAGCCTCCCCCCTTGAGCATCTCTCCGCCACTTCTCAGGAAGCCAGAGCCCCCACGCAGAAACCCCGTGGCCAGGAGTTCAAACACCTCCTCCAGGGTTGCTTTGCGTACATTTTGCCTCATGACTGCAAATAAAAAAAACTTCAGGTCAAATATACATATTATCCTCATGCAACATCGCATCCTTTGCCACTGCATCACCATTGCAAGTAAACTATTAAATCTTGACTTAAAGCTTTCGTGACTGCAGGAATTCATATTCTTTGGGTCTCTCGGTAAAGTCACGTAGATCAGTCCAAAGAAAAATAAGAAAAATACCAAAAATCTACGACGTTTCGATCGCAACGCAAGCGGTCGTCATCAGGCTGAAAAAAGAGAGGAAAGCTGCTGAGGCAGATTGTTTTAAAGGTTTGAAATGGGTGTAGCCCAAGGGTCATAAATGAAGTGGGCAGGGCTATTTATGTTAATGTGAGAAATTAGCATGTTAATGGTAGATCCGAGGACGAACTCCATGACGAGCACGTGGAGGTGGCTATGTTAATGAGAGAAATCAGCATGTTAATGGTAGATCGGAGGATGACCTCCACGACAAGTGCGCAGAGGTGGCTATGTTAATGTGACAGAAATGAGCATGTAATGTAAGATCGCAGAGAAGCAGGCCCCGTCGGCGCACGAGTTGGCTGAGAAATGTAACCTGTTTATGTAAAATCAGACAGCCACAAATAACAACTAACATCGGAAGGTAGGATGGAAATATCACAGCCAGTTATGACTTAAACTGGTTAATAACGTCCCTCCAATGATTGCTTAGTTTGTACCCATCTACTCGGTTGAAATTGTGTCTGTGTCTATATATGGATGGCTTCATGAACGAATCTTTGTTGATAGCAAATGGGTTTGCAGAGTACCTTCGTCTTGGAGATTTCAATTTCGTGTGAGCCCACCTTGTTAAAACAATGATCAGCCACGGCCAAGGTGTTGGTACTACCGTGTTTCAGATTAGGATTATGTTCACGAACACGGTCCGAGACATGTCTCTTAGTTTCCCCAATGTAACTACTGCCGCAGACACAGCTTAGTTTGTAGACGCTGGGGTATTGCATGTCAGGGATCATATCCTTCACAGATTGGATCAAATCACACATTTTATGTACTGTGTTAAATCGAACCTGGATCTTGTTTGTTCATAATTTTTGAAGTATTTTTGGTGACCCCTGCTATGTATGGCAAGGTGATGGTTTTGATCGGGTTCTCAGATGGTTCTTTCCCAACGGTTGGGGTGATAGCTGTCCGATTGAGCCATCTGGTCTCTTTTCAATTAAAACATCCAAGAATGGTAACTTGGATGTGATCCCTGACATGCAATACCCTGGCGTCTACAACCTAAGCTGTGTCTGCGGCAGTAGTTACATTGGGGAAACTAAGCGACATGTCTCGGACCGTGTTCGTGAACATAAGGCAGATTTGAAACATGGTAGGACCAACCTCAGCCGTGGCTGATCATTGTTTTAATAAGGTGGGCTCACACGAAATTGATTTCTCCAAAACGAAGGTACTCTGCAAACCCACTGGCTATTAACAAAGATTAGTTCATGAAGCCATCCATATTTATAGACACAGACACAATTTCAACCGAGCAGATGGGTACAAACTGAGCAATGATTGGAAGGACGTTATTAACCAGTTTAAGTCATAACGGGGCTGTGATGTTTCCATCCTACCTTCCAATGTTAGTTGTTATTTGCGGCTTATCGTGCGCCGACGTGGCTGCGGCTCTGCGATCTTACATCACATGCTAATTTCTATCACATTAACATAGCCACCCCCGCGCGCTCGTCGTGGAGGTCATCCTCCGATGTAACATTAACATGCTGATTTCTTACATTAACATCAATAGTCCCGCCCACTTCGTTTATGACCCTTGGGCTACACCCATTTCAAACCTTTAAAACAGTCTGCCTCAGCAGCTTTCCTCTCTTTTTTCAGCCTGATGACGACCGCTTACGTTGCGATCGAAACGTCGTAGTTTTTTTGTTATTTTTCTTTGAACCTATCTATGTGACTTTACTGAAAGACCCAAAGAATAAGTAAACTATTGTGCAACATTTTTTTTGTGGACACAATTAGAAGTGGCATTCTGGTTTGTGTGCTTCCTTCTGCTTCAATCTTTCATCTACTTCTTCATAGCCCATTCCATTCTTCCTCCCAATTCATTCAAATGTAAATAATTGTGTATTTAAAACATTTGTTTATTGCATTGTTCTGATAAACCAGCAGTGGTGGATACATGGATAGTGATCCAAATATTTTTGTGGATCTCAGGACAAATCAGAACACCAACTTAAGCAACCAACTATTTTTGTGATGGCTAATTGCAAATAATACCCCTATGTATCATACTACAGTATAAAAACTTTTCTGGCTGACTTCCTACTTGGATTCCTGTCTGCCAGCTCCTGTCTTATCTATGCAACAACTAAGTCATGACCTGAACCTATACTGTTTGAGCACCTATACAACCTAGTCTTGGGAGATGCCCTGTGCTATTCTTTAGTTCTTGTTATAATATATCAGTTGATCATTGACCCATTTGTGATTAAGATATTTTGCCAACAGAGCTATTGGAAATACTCACTCTACCCAGCAAAATTGACCCATCCATCAACAGCCAATATCTTGTGGGAGTCCCAAAATACTCCCATCATATTTGGAATCAATAAATTAAACAATTCACTCAGATGGATACAAGTTGAATGTAGTAACAAGGAACACACATCATGCATATGCATGGATGTTATAAAGCTTTCCAACGTGTTGTTCTCTGCAGTATTTATTTAGTGATATAAGAGACTGATTTTAAACATCACCATGGTCAATAAGACGTGAAAACAAAATCCCAAAAAAATCTTCCTTACCTGCTGCATGCTTGGGTAAAACAGCCGTGGCCAAAACGGTGCCAAGGAGTGTAGACACAGCCACTCGGACATCATAATTGGAACCTTCTAACGCTTTGAAGCATATTGTCGCCATGTTCTCAAGTTCACTGCTCCAAAGAAACACCGCTTCATTTTGGAGCTCCAGGAGACACTGCAGATACAATTAATTATTTGGCGATGCTGCGTTGACAGTGGTGCACAGGCACAATATGATAAAAAATATCTCACACTTGTGAGCTACACTGCTGAAAACAAAAAAATATATATAATTGTTGAAGTTTCAGGCAATGACCCCTTGTTGATGTGCTATGAAGGGCCATTGCCAAGAAACGTCACCTGCTACACAGTCACATAGAGTACATACCTTTGCAGCTGCACACCGAACCGCCATTGAGCGATCAGTCAAGCAAACACGAGCCGACTTGTAAATGTCCCTGTGACACGAAGCTGCTGCTCCACCAAGACCACTCAGAATCTTCTGCAAGCTGATCATAATCTCACTTCGACCCTGCGACTGATAATACAACAAAACATTGATGACACGCACCTCAATTAAATAAGAGCAAAGAAGGAATTCATAATGCCCCTTTAAACCACTTTTTTTTCTCAAAAATTTTGCCATTCTGATTGCCACATTAAGCAGTGGTGCCCCCTGGGCCACCAAATGTCCTCAATATAATTAAAATTGTGTGTATACAGTAGTCCCCCAGTTAACGTTTTTTTATTCGTTCCACGAAAACTACTGTTTACCCGAAATAACTGTTAATCGAAGAGAGAGCTGTTTCCACTGCTAAAACAGAACACGTAATGTGAACAAAGCCAGTCAAGGTATAAACGCTCATATATGGACGACGCCGATTGGCTGAGGGCATGGTTCAGCCCAATTACGAGCGCTCGGATTGGCCAAAATGGTCGCCTGCGTGCATAACATAAACGTATGGTTAATCAATATTCTAGCGGTTTGTCGAAACCATGGGGGTCCTATGGGAGGGCACAACGTTAACCGAAAAACGTTAACCGATGTCACTGTTAACCAAGGGACTACTGTATTTTAACATTGCAAAAGCTAATTGAAATGACAAGCAAACTCAATGTTTGACATGGCTGTGGCATATAATACATCCGATTATAATTGCAATTCAGTACTTCCACGCTATAGTACAAGTAAAATAACATTTGTATTACAAGCCTTGACTTCAGGAATCGGTCTTGGAACCTGCATCCTGAGCCTTGTTTTAGCCTTGCGTTACATGTGCCTGGTAGTGGTTTTTAAGAGGTATCGTATGTCTCTAATTTATAAAACATGCGCAGCTGACAAACCTGCCAGCAAAGAGTGGCATGTCTCTAAACAGATTGGCTATGCACACAAATGCAGGGCAAGAGATGTATAGCAGTGGCAGCATTGTGAGGGGAACCATAACCTTGGTGTTATCTTACTCTACCAACCCACAGTTGCAGACTACAATAAAAAAAACACATGAATTGGACACTTCACACACCTATATAAAATTTCAGTGACGGTATGAATAGCGTATTAATCATGTGATAAAAAAACAATAGCATTCAAACAATAGTCATTAAAGCGTAGAAAATGCTGACAAGTTATCTGTGACGTGTGCAATTTAAAGTCACTGTTAATATTGCACCTCTGCGCTCTTAACAGCTTTGATGAGGTTCCCAATCGTGTCGGGGAAAGAGCTCCCCAACATGCGGCCCAGCTTCTCGTACAAGGCTCCAATGCAGGCAACAGCAGATCTAAAAAGGAACACATCGTTCGTATTAAAACCCAAAACGACAACATTGTAAAAATAATCATGGTAGATATTGCATTAGTCAAACATGTAAACATTAAACTAGCCAAGATGAACAGTATTCCTCTGAAATCTTGACTTAAAGCTTTCGTAAAAGAGGGGGCGGGGGAAGAGGGCCCCTTTTCCTGAAGACGACTGCTTGTGTTGCGATCGAAACGTCATCGTTTTTGTTATTTTCTTTGAACCTATCTACGTGACTTTACCAAAAGACCCAAATAATAGTATTCCTCTGCTTTAAGGAAGACCTGTGTGGTGACCGGTCAATATCAGTGCCTACATTTTACACTTACTGTCACCTTGCAAGATTCAGGAAAGCCCAAAGATAGCTCAGAACTACTGCTCAGAAACAATATTCATTATGCTTAGGAATGGGACGATACTAACAGAAAAAAACCCTTTATATAAAAAAAAACACAATGTCATATAATAAAGCAGGGGTGGGGAACCTTTTTTCTATCAAGGGCCATTTATATATTTATAACATCATTCGCGGGCCATACAAAATTATCAACTTAAAAATTAGCCTGTTATATTTGGTCAAACATTGAATTAACTCACCCCTAATGTGATGGCTGGAACAGACTAATTAATTTGCGGGCCTTATACGGCCCGCGGGCCGGACGTTCCCCACCCCTGTATAAAACAAATGTAAATTGTGGCAATATACTATGATAGCAGCAGCAGAGAGGGTGCCAAGTTACCTGTACCGATGTGTTCAAAAGGGGAACATACCAAAAATATTACCCAATTGATGGCTAAAAACCAGGAAGTCAAACTTAACTGAAAACAAGAGTTATACGACATTTTTCATCAACCAAAACTAAATTGAAGTTGTTGCTCTGGAACTAAACAAAAAAAATACAATCCTGGTTTTAACCAGTAACGAAACATATAACGCTCTGTAGTTGGGGTATTCAAAGTGAAATTGACCATGAATCCTGGGCCAGTTCATTGTTATTCCGCTAGAGATGCATCACATCTGCTGTGATCCCTCATGGACTGACACTTGCATTTGGCTTGGCACCGGGGCTAAGGGTGTATGGTGACATATGCGAGGTGAGGTATGGCAGGGTGTGTGGTGAGAGCTGTGGTAAAGGGAGTGTGTGGTGACGGGCTATATATGTAAAATGTGTGACGAGGTGTGGGTTTGGGGTGGAGCTGAATGGTTTGGTCCACAAAACAATCTATCCAGGATTAAAATTTAAATGTAACTGAATACATAATTCTTGATTATTTTAGGTATTTATTCTTTGATCCTTATAGCTGTACCCCAGGGTACCAAATAATACAAAATGGCCATGGAAATTAAATATCTTATTTCTGGGACACTATTTTTTCCAGGGGTGTACTTAACTCCGCGACTCGGGTACAAATCAATCCAAAATTAGTGCTACTCCTCGATGTCGAAACGCCAAACATTAGCATAAAAAATACGTTATCGAAAAATTTAACTTTGAATAGTGCATCGTGTGCAGCTCGTCGAGATGAGTCTATTGCCGCATCGCCGACCATCAACAGACTAAAACTGACTGCATCACGGACATTATGCGAGAGCCGGGGTTCTATGGCACCCCGGGGTACCACCATAAGGTTCATTTCACAGGATTATAAAATGCACACCAAAACAGTGCAACAATATATATTTTTTCAAATGAACGACTTACAGTTTTGTTGGCAGATAACTGGGTGAGTCATCTTTGCTGCGTATAATTTCATTGCATTTGTCAATGGTCTGGAAGACTGAAAACGTGTCGCCAATGCTGTAGAGGGTGGACAGAGATTTAGCGATGAGTCTACGAGTCGGTGGCCCAGGGGCCTCGCTCATCAAGTTGGTGAGTTGCTCCACCAGCCGGTTCTGGTTCTGCCTTGTGTCTATCTGTGAATAAAAAACATATTACAATTTTTGGTAAGTGATGGAACATTTCCTTTTACTCAGTATCAGTTGCACTTTCTCCAAAAAATATATAAGTGGTGACATCATGAAGCAAGATAGAACCTTCATGGTTTATGGATTTATATTATGCTCACAATTCAGGCATAAATTAACTTCCATTATGTCCCAAAATCAATCGATCTTTTATATATATTAAAATGTCATATTTCGTCAATAGTTTATCTTTGTCAAATATAATATTGACATTCTCTCTCATGGTAATTTCATCACTCGTTTTGTTCAACTCTTTGAGTGAGGTATGTTGCACAGACTTAACTTTATTAATATTGATTTAAATGTTCATTGTTCTTAATACATGGGTTTCTATTTTTACATTTTTCAATATCATTGCAGCGTTTTCAAATAATATATTTGTTAGTGACCATTATTCCGATCCAAATGTAAATGGTTAAAATGTGCAAAAACTGCACAATATGCACATACCATATAATTGTAATATAAATGGAACAACATATGCCGGTCTTAAAAAATATAATTTAAATGTTGGGATGAACAGAATAACAGGTTTATGTTTTATTCAAGAATTTCACCTGACAAATACCAGATAACTGAATGATGGATCTTGTTGAATCTGAATTTTAACATCGTACAGTTAAGATCGATACATTAACATGGATAGAACCATCCATCTACCACCTGCAGTGCACACCCTCGCAAATACCCATTTACCACACACCAGCACAGTTGTAATGACCACATACAAAGACCCTCCCCCCCCGTGAAGCCTTAACAGAAGGTTGGGGCAAGTACTGTTAGCGAGCACCTTTGAGACTGGAACGGTACACGAAGGGGTGGGTGGCCTGCACCACGCCCAGCCGACATTGTCTCCCCAGTGACGATGTTTACACATCGCACCAGATACTTATTTGAGGCTGAGGCAACTTAGGGGAGGCCCAGGACAGATTCAGATAATCGTCACTCGTGTTGGCCGTGAGCTGGAATCGAACTCGGGACGCCGGGTTCGTAGCACGGCGCGCTAACCGCTGCACTACCGCTCACCACACACACCTACAGGCACAAACACTATACAAGACAAAGGATTCGCCTTTATAGCCTCATAATGAATATTGGAGCAAATACTGTCAGCAAGCACTTATTTAAGACCTGTCACAGTGCGCAGAGGCGTGGCGTGGCCAGAACCACCACAGCTGCATGTCCTATACTTGTACCCGTTTACATCGGAGTTGGCCTAGCAGACCCATGACCAGATTTAGATATCACTCATCACTGATGTTATCTGTGGCAGGGAATCAAACTCAGATTGAAATCAAATACTTGCTGTAAACGAAAAAACAAACCCATCACAAAAGGCAAATGTGTGCAGGCTGTAAAGAAATACTGATGACGACACAAATGTGCTCAAAAACTGCAGGAAGTTCAGAGATAGAGCAAAATAAAGAACATTTCCAAATGCATAATTTGGAGTGTAAATACAATTTCAATGCTTGTCAACTCCCGCGTTGTTTCAATGTTGCAAACGTTTCAAAGCCATATATATAATTAGCGCATACACTCAATTACACACCGGTCTTGAACAACAACAATAATATAATATTCATATTCTTGGTTCTTTCGGTAAAGTCACGTAGAAGGGAAACAATATTTAATTTCTACATGACTTTACCGAAAGAACCAAGAATATGAATCCCTGCAGTCACGAAAGCTTTAAATAAAAAAATATAATACACCGTTTGAGAACGTTACCAGTTACGTACCTTGTTAGCGGTGGCAAGATAAATGTCGAGGAACCTGAGCCATTCAAAAACAAATATGGGCTTCTTGGCATCGGTCACTTGTGCCAGGGCTTCCTCGTTGAGCAACAGACTGTGAGCCAGCTCCATCGTTTTGTTACGGAACCCGAAGGTCGAGATGGAAGTGCCACTTACTCCAAAACTCTTCAAAACCAAATCACTACATTCCGCTCCAGCCGCGTTGGAAACTGATGGAAGACAAAATTATTGGCGAGGCATGGAACAAAACATTAAAATAGAATCAGGCTCGCAACACTACCACATTATATTTATACAGTTACAACTTATACGTCTAACTGACACGCATTACAAAGTGTCAAGTTCAGAATCTTTATACTGGAAGAATTCGACGAGCTATAAGGCTCTTTTTTCACAGACGCCCAGTAGGTTTGTGGAGGGCCCCTATACGTGTCCAGCAACCACCAGGTGCATTCGTTTGTTTACAGGCCGTAGTCCTGCGGATGTGACACACAAGAGTCGAGACCGCTGCAGGGAGCTTGGTGTAAAATGATGCCGGAAAACGCCGGCCCCAGGGCCTCCCTGGCACGACACCCACACAAGACGTGCGCACTGCCGTGATGCTGCGCTACGCAGGTGGGCGCATACCCCCCTCACCCCCACAACCCCTCAAAATCACCCCCACAACCCCTCAACGTCACCCCCATAACCCCTTAAACGTCACCCCCACAACCCCCCAACGTCACCCCCACCACCCCTCAACGTCACCCCCCATAGTCACCCCCACAACCCCTCAAAATCACCCCCATAACCCCCCAACGTCACCCCCACAACCCCTCAACGTCACCCCACAACCCCTCAACGTCACCCCCACAACCCCTCAACGTCACCCCCACAACCCCTCAACGTCACCCCCACAACCCCTCAACGTCACCCCCACAACCCCCCAACGTCACCCCCACAACCCCTCAACGTCACCCCCACCACCCCTCAACGTCACCCCCACAACCCCCCAACGTCACCCCCACAACCCCTCAACGTCACCCCCACCACCCCTCAACGTCACCCCCACAACCCCTCAACGTCACCCCCACAACCCCTCAACGTCACCCCCACAATCCCCCGTCACCCCCACAACCCCTCAAAGTCACCCCCACAACCCCTCAACGTCACCCCCACAACCCCTCAACGTCACCCCCACCACCCCTCAACGTCACCCCCACAACCCCCACAACCCCTCAACGTCACCCCCACAACCCCTCAACGTCACCCCCACAACCCCCCAACGTCACCCCCACAACCCCCAACGTCACCCCCCCCACCTCCCCCCAGTCGCGGGGTCTCAAGGTCCCCGGTGTCTCAGCCCGGCCCCCACCTTCCCCAGCCGGGTCTTTAGGCCCCGAGAGTCTCAGGGCCCCGCGTCTTAGGGTCCCGGTGTCTCAGTGTCTCACGGTCCCCGGTGTCTCAGTGTCTCACGGTCCCCGGTGTCTCAGTGTCTCGCACGGCTGGACGTGAGCGGGGCGGGGGGGGGTCTCGGCTCCCCCTCGGGCCGCGGAGGAGACGTTCACCTCCTCGCCTCACCGCACCGCCGCGCTTCTCCCCGCTCCAGCCGCTCTGCTGCCAGCGAGGCGGGGCGGGTGGTCTCGTACCGTGAACCCGCGGCACGCGGACAGCGCGCGTCGCAGTCGTCGCGCAGTCCGCGCCTCGGTCCCTCTTCCTCCTCCTCCTGCTGCGGCTGCTGCTGCTGCGGGGAGAGTCTCGCTCTGCTCGGCGGCCACGACGCCCGAGGCTGCGGCTTCGTCCTCCTTCGGTGAGGGGTGGGGGGGGGCGACACAAACACTCCCCGCGTGACGTCACGCGCGCGGCCGACGTCATGTTAGGCCGGCCCCTGGACCCGCGTCATCGGCTGCCTTTCCCCCACCCCACCGCGGTCGCGATGGGGGATGACGTCACCGCGAGCCACGCTGCGACGTTGTCCCCCGTGACGTTGCGGCTGACGTCGGCACACTTGGGGGCAACGCGCACGTGGTGGTGATGGGTGGTGGTGGGTGGTGGTGTTGGGGTAAAGTGTGGGTACGGCCAACCCTTCCAGATGGTATCTCCCTCGCCTGCTATGCAGGAGATCGTGAGCTACCACTGCTATTCAGTGGCCTGAAATAAAATGTATCACTCCGGATGACCGCTTCAAAGTATGATCTTGAGTTTTGATTATCGTGTGCTGATCTTTAAAGGTGCATCGAAAATTCTTGATACTCCTGATACTCCTGCTGTTATGGAGTGACTCATGCTGGCAGCTATGGCTGCAAAGTTTGGTCGTACATGTTATGTATATCGTGTATTGTTAAATTTGAATCACAGTTCCTATGATTACTGTTACATTGTTTTTATAGCTTTATTTTGGTGATTTCGAAAACGTTTTGGTTTAGCCATATTTGTTGTACAGAGTTAGACTGATAACTTTAATCTAAATTGTCTTATGGTTATTGTTTGACTTGCATCCCACTGGGATGTTTTGCACACAGCATTGATATACGGTGCTTTTTCTGGAAGACTTTGCTGTTTATTCCTGGATTTTTCTGTTGCATGTGGTCACTTTAAGATGTTTCTTGTTCATGTTTTTGTTTGTTGCGGTTGCACCCGATTCAAGAGCCGAATGGCTCACAGGGCTATACCTAATAAATGAACTGAACTGAGGTTCGATCCCGACCCTGACGACGCCTGTATATTTGGAATTTGCGTATCTCTCCAGGTCCTCCGGGTTTTCCCATCAACATTTAGAATTAACGTCGCGTGATTAGAGTATTTAGCTGCTGCTATAAATATCCACACGATAAGTCACTTCGTTGAACTAACATTTACGATAGCCAGGTCGCTTCTGAAATAGAGCTATATATAGCTCAGTGGTCCTTACCTGGTAAAATTAAAATTAGTTTCAACACACCTGGCTAGCATGAATGACATACCTGTCAACCCCTCACCAGTGCCTACCTTATTACAGACCAATTCAGACCTTATTGGTCACCCCGTGCCCTTTTGAAAAAAATGCCCATATTGAAACGGCTGTACGCCATATGGTCCTGAAAACTCTATTTCCCTGTACAAGAATACGGAGTAAACCGTATGGGTTGACAGGTATGGAATGAGTAGTGGATGCATTTCCACCAGCAGTGACGTGAGCAGGACATTGCAGGAATTGCACCTTTTACCGGTAATCAATTATGAAAGCAGTTTACCGGTTATAATTCTTATCACTCACCGGTGACCTGTAGCTATAAACCCCCGACTACAAGTACCAGACCAAAAAAAACTCACCTTCGTCAATAACAGGTGTGTAGTGACATAGAATCGGTCACGTAGCAGCATAGCGCTGGCTGCTGGCAGGGAAGGGGATCTGTAGCTTACAGCAGCCCTGACTGACAGCAGGCCACGTGGTAGACCAGAGAGGGATCGAGGAGGTCACGGAAGGGGCACATCGAGAACCCGCTAGTAGGTTCCACAAGGGGGCGTGGCCGGAGCCAGGCCACGCTGACAGTATAAGAGGGGCCCCGGGGGGGGGACCTCGAGGCTGTCGTTTGGAGCGAGATCTCCGTCGTGCTGCTGCTAGAGTCTTCACCGTCGTCTCCGTCTTCACCATCTCGGCGTCGCCAGTCAGGTAGTCTACCAACTGTCCTGACTGGGAACTGTGGTTACTAAGTGTTACTGTCAGGCCGTGTTCATAAACAGAGTGCCTCCTACTCTTAGTGTCTCTGAGTCAGTCACTACACATGTATGGAAAGGGAGGGGGGGATGGCCCTTCTTGGTAGTACCATTACCCGCTATTCGCCACTAAGTGACGGTGAACTGCGCCTGTGCCAGGCCAGTTGCACTTTGAGGCCATGTGAAGTGTCGAAGGCTCGCTGAAAGGTCACGGGACAGACCCAGGTGCAATGTGTTGGCTGAGATGACTGACAGATGTAACAGCTGTAACCCTTAAAAATTATAAAACTCTAAAAATAGAGTTTCATAATTGTTGTGGGGGTGGCGCAATAATGGATATCTATGTATATAAAAGGGAAATGTGTTAATGTGTCTGTTCGAAATGTTTAGCATACTTCCCGACATCCAACAAACTTGAAATTTGGCATGTGGGTAGCTTCCGGACTGTACACAATGTAAAACATATAAAAATAGACTTTTGTATTTTGGGGGTGGGGGGAATGAAGTGTGTGGCGTCAACCCGCATGCAGGACTGGCGAGAATCGATATCTGGGGAGCGTTTGTGGTATCGATGAAACTGGAATAGGTCGATTCTAAAGAAATCTATAACCTTAGATTCCTTTGCGCGATTTAAAGAATCGAATCTTGGCACGCGAGCGTAAGTTTTTTTTCCCACCGCGCGTTGGGTTCTATGTTATTTTTAATTAATGAGGTAATGATAAAAGTTTTCTTCTCATTTGTATATGTTATGTTTTTACAGTTTTGAGGAGTTTTAAAATATATTTTTCGCCCGGGCAACGCCGGGTACTTCCCGCTAGTAGTATATAAAATAGCTTCGTCAATGGACTTCTGAATGAAGCCACCTTATACTTTGTCAGTCAATGTTGAAGGGGTCTAGGTTTGGTGACATCCCGCATGACTCGTCAATACGGTGTCATGGTTGCGAATGAGGTTAAATACTGTGCCACCATACGGGTAATACGCATCAGAAAACATTGACGCAATGCAGTTCAAAGAAGAAAAAGAAATACCAGGTAATTTGTTTTCTAATATTTAATATACTTATTACCAGTCTACACTACTTTCTTTTCAACATAGAGTAAAAGTGCTTACACACGACCGATCAGTTTTAACTTACAATTCTAAAACATCTACAAGTCTAAAACATCTCTGCAAGCTGTGACATTACAGTGCAGATACACGACTTCAAAAATAGTTCACCGCTGTAAGCTGGTCACAATAACTGTGCATTGCTGAATTAAACTTATGCAATGAACTTTCCAATCACATCAATACCCACACTACACCAATTGACCTGTACGTATACATACACATGTGCATTGATACATTACCACCGTGAAACTGAACTCAAAGCAACAAAGTCACGCCAGTATACGGAACTCAGCTGAGAACTTTGCACCAGCTACAGCCGCACGAATTGTTCCATATTAATGAACTTCTTCCTATATTACTACAGTAACTTCAGGTAATAATAATATTCATTTATTACTGTTAATTTGTTTTCCGAATAACATTTTTGCTAATTGTCATTGACTGTCACTCAAATGGAAAACAATCATGAATGATGAACCAAACAGTATTTTCTATTTAAAAGATGCTTGTGATATTTTGTCCGCGTGTGTACATTTTTTGTTCGTAATATATTTATATTAAAGGTATAACCGTACGAGCTGTTAACTTTATTTTTTTTAAAAATTTTTAAACAAAACTTCGAGCTTATCAAGTCAAGTTCATTTGCGTAAACCAGGTGAGATTTCATGAGACCAGGGTGTGTCTCACAGCAGTGACCCGTGCCACCAACATTAAAAACGCAAAATAATTTAAGGTACAACAACGAAGAAAATATAAATCATTGCAAAAACAACTGTCGAAATTGTTATTGTCGAAAATATTGCGCGAAAATAAATTCATGTCAAATAATTAAATAACTGCGGCGTCAGATCAAGCAGATTAGTTTTAAGACTGATCAAATTACAATCGAGATAAGTTACAGAAACAATAGACATTATGACTATTGCACTGATCGAAACAATATCACGCAGGCCTTACCCAGCAGCATTACCCCTCCAAAACAATTTCAAATCGACTGCTTGATCAAAGGCATCCCTATTAATGCTGTAGATTTTAACCCGAGTTATGTGCAACCCGATACACCCATATGTAACAAAATGGCTTAATCTCCCCACCAGCCATATCCTCATGTGGGTCTCATCCTGAGACCGTCATCATCGCATGTTGTGTTCTCTTCAGATCGTGCCAAGTACTGGTAGTTTTAATTAGGACAACTGTGGAGTGTTATATTTGTGTTTGCAATTAAATCCCCAGGGGTGGTATTTTAAACATTCATACTTTCATCCTCCGCAGGTGATCAAATTTTCTATCATTTGCATTGAATATTTCATTGCATATCCATTGATAAGCATTGTCCCATACCAGTAAATCATTGATGAAAAGAGAAAAGGCTTCACCCTTTCTGTCAACAATACAGGTGTTAAAAAGTTCAAACACCTAACAGACACCACATACTTTTTCTAATACAAATACGGTATGCTCTGACAATGTGTGGCCAATCAAGTTCAAGGACAGTATATACATTATGAAAACAATTATTTGCATGTTTTACCACAAGCATGGGTGGTTAAAGCAGACTTGATACCCTTTTAATAGGCGTCTGATTGGTGTTTTCACATTTTAACACCTCCTGTATTTTTGCCAGAAAGCTTAAAGCCTTTTTTTCTTTTTCATCATCTTGATACTTGCCAAAAAGTGTCCCATAGATTGAAAATAATTGATGTGACAATATAATTTGTCATTTTTGTATAACCATTTTCTCAAAAGCACTCAATTTTGTTTTATTATTTAACCAGCATTACCGTCTGTCTGTATTATGCCATTTTCTGGCTGCGATTCTTCACCAATCTAGATTTGAAGTTTTCGTGACTGCAGGGATCCATACTCTTTGGTTCTTTCGGTAAAGTCATGTAGGTATAAAATGCCCACTTCATTAATTGTTTCTTGCTGTGGTTGTCCCACCTGATGACTGACGCTTGTGTTGTGCCCGAAAAGTCGTGATTTAATTTATTTTATTTTATATCTACGTGACTTTACCGAAAGAACCAAAGAGTATCTTCACCAAT